AGGAAAGATGTGAGACTAATAGGTCGGTGTGATTTGGGTTGTGTGTAGTCACCTTTACCAGGTTTGGGGATGAAGACTACTTTAACTTCTCTCCATTTCAAGGGGATGTACTGATGCGCCAGGCAGCCCCTATAAATTTTTACAAGATGGTCCAGTAGTATCATATCACACCATCTCAGTAGGCCTGGGAAGACACCATCTAGTCCTGGCGCCTTGAATGGTAGGAAGCTGTTAATTGCCCATCTTAGTTTGTCATGGTTGACAACTTTGCGGGCCGTATCCCAGTCTGTATCATCTGGTGGTTTTTCCCATCTGTCTTCCCATTTTTCCATCACATCTGATATGCGACATCCAGGGAAGTGTGTTTTTAATAACAGCTCTGAGGCTTCCGAGTCTGTTTTGGTATACTCACCATCAGGCTTCTTCAGTGAGCCAAGATTGTGTTCGCCTCTACTACACAGTATGTTTTTGACTCTATTAGCCTGATTGTTGTTCTCTATGTTAGTACAGAAGTTTCTCCAGCACTCAGTTTTCCTGGTTCTGATTCTCTTCTTATATTGTTGTCGGGCCTGCGTGTAGGCATCCCAATGTTGGTCTAATCGCGAGTTTTTTGCTTTATTGAACAACTTTCTCACTTTACGACGTAGTCTTTCCAGTTCCGGACCCCACCATTGGTGTTAGTTCTGTGGTCCAGTTCTGGGTGTGGAAAGTGGGCATGTTTGTTCAAAGCAATCGATCAGTGTCTGTGTAAGGTTGACAACATGACTGTCAATGTCCTTAACAGTCCCCGTAGCGTGTGTTGGGTTGATGCTTCGCAGTTTCTCCGCAGTAAGATGTTCATACCGTTTCCGGTCCATCGTTTGGGGATTCCGTCGGGGATCGGGTAGTTTAAGTTTCATTTCAAAGTTAAATTTGATCCAGCGATGGTCTGAGCACGATGCTTCGTTCGAAACATGCCAGTTCGATATGTGTTGCGATGCGTGCTCACTTGCTAATGTAATATCAATTATAGTTTGGGCCCTGGATGTGACAAATGTCGGCTCCGAGCCCACGTTGATAATGTTAAGGTTAGTTGATAATAGGAACGATTCAAAGTCGGTGACAAAAGCACTAAATCTATCAAACAAAGGTTCCTTGTATGACGTGGCAAATCTTTAAAAAACCTGAAGAGAAAATATGTAGTGGGCCCTTAAACATATCACGTGACCAACCCGGTCTGAGCAGTACTGCTTCTGAAAGATTTATAATTGAAGGAGACCGAGACCAACCCGGTCCGAGCAGTACTGCTTCTGAAAGATTTATAATTGAAGGAGACCGAGATCTCGTTAGTTCAAATAATTTTGCAGCTGGACCCCATAGCCCTTTATTACAAGAAAATATTATACCAATTACGGAATATTGATAATAAAGACGCGATTGAATATGATTTTTATTATGATTTTTTATTGATTGATGTTTGATATGATTGATTGATTGAATATTTGAAATAAATATAATATTATTTTTTGGTATTGATTTTTTATTGATTCGTGTTCAGTATCAGTGGTATAGTCACCTCCTACTAACTTACTATTTACGTATTATTCGTGTACACAAAACATTTCGTAATATTGTATAACGCAGCAATAGTTTGAATACAGTTGTTTCATCTGATTATTATACGTATACTACAGAAGATACGCGTCGAGCGAGCGCGTAGGTACACGAGCGATCGTTTTCGATGTGAGGGGAGCGGGCAGGGGAGCGCGGGTGAATTCTTAAATTTTGCTGGCTTTATACGCGCTCTTGATAATTGAAATATCTACTAAACTCAGACCCGACTAAAAATATACGAAAAATTGCTACTAATTAACGACTAAAATTGAAAGAAATCCAATCTTCGCCTACTAGGGCACCTTCCTAGTTTTTGAAATATAAGCGTGGAAGTCCTGAGTGGATTCCCTAGGTCGGCAACCTAGAAACGCTTTCAAATTTTGATTCAGTGACTGACATTTTTTTTTGTTTTTTTTTTATGTTAGAGGGGGCAGACGAGCAGACGGATCACCTGATGGAAAGTGACCATCGCCGCCCATGAACGTCTGCAACTCAGGAGTCACAAACGCGTTGCCGGCCTTTTAGGAAGGAGTACGCCCTTTTCTTGAAGGTTTGAAGGTCGTATCGGTCCGGAAATACGGCAGACGATAACCCGTTCCATAGATTGACAGTACGGGGCAAAAAGTGTCTCGAAAAGCGCACAGTAGTGGAGCGCCAACTATCCAGGTAATGAGTTAGAAAATTTTGCCGTGTGGAACGATGGCGGAAGCGGCTGGTATTAGTCCAAACAATTCCTCGGAGCACCAATTTGACCTTACCCTCTAAGTGACCCCGAAACTGGACTTTGCTCGATATGTCGATGCCTAGGATTCTGATGCTGCTGGCTGAGGCAGTTAGGGAGGTGCTCGCAAACTGAGGTGATACGACAAATGGTATCTTTTTTGCGGTGAACGCACATAGGTACCTGTGACTTTTTTGGGTTAAACTGGACTAGATTTAGTCGGCCCCAATCTGAAACCTTCGCTAAGGAAGTTTCAATTTCAGACACAAGTTTGTTTCGACCCTCAATGACGTTTTCCCGAGAAATATTGGGGCGGCCGGTATAAAGGGCATCTCCTGTGCTATCATCTGATAGCAATGGATGCTACTAGTTTGCAACATGTCATTGATAAGCAGAAGAAACAGTGTGGGTGATATCACACAGCCTTATGGGACACCAGCAATTACGAATTTCAAGTCGGAGCATGCACTCGACAACAACCCTAATGCTTCTGTCCGCAAGGAAGCTGGTGACCCAATTACACAATTTTTCGGGCAGCCCAAAGGAAAGGAGCTTCGAGAGAAGCACCTTTTGCCAGACCCGATCAGAGGCCTTCGCTATGTCTAAACTAACCGCATAAGCCTCTCCTTCGGTCTCGATCGCCTGTGCCCACCGGTGTGTTAGAAAGACGAGAAGATCACCAGCTGAGCGACCCCGGCGAAAACCATATTGTCGGTCACTGAGTAGCTGGTGATCATCCAAGTACCGGAGGAGCTGGCTGTTGATTCTGGATTCCATAATCTTAGAGAACAAAGGAGTTATAGCTATAGGCCTGTAGTTGGATGGGTCAGGGCAGTCACCTTTTTTTAGGGATCGGGTGCACAAACGCTACCTTCCAGGAGTTCGGGACGACGCCTTGGGAGTAGGAGACAAAAAAGGCGCGTTAAAACCGGTTCCAACTCCGGAGCACACGTCATCAACACGATAGGAGAAATTCCATCGGGCCCACACGACTTATGAATGTCACGGTAAAAGAGTGCTGTACGCACTGATTTTTGTGTGAACCGGATATCCGGCATATAGCTCTGGCACCGCGGTATTGTCGGCGGTACGTTTCCCCCGTAATCCAAAGTCGAGTTGGATGCAAAGAATTTGCCTAGGAGATCAGCTTTCTCCTTGGCATCATAGGCCAACGAATTTTCTCCCATCTGCAGGGGTGGAAAGAATTGACTACAGAAATTCCCCTGGACAGCCTTGGCAAGAGACCAGAATAATATAATATAATAATAATAATAATATATTCTACCACATACACACAACGCCATCTAGTCCCAAACTAAGCAGAGCTTGTACTATGGGTACTAGAGAAGTGATATAAATACATATATACTTTTTTTTTGTAAATACATACATATTATACATAGAAACACCCAGACCCAAATCAAACATCAAATGTTCATGCACACAAATGTTTGACCTGAGCGGGAATCGAACCCGCGACCTTTGGAATAGCAGTCCGTTACACAAACCACTACACCATCCAGTCGTCAAGAATGCACGCGTTCCATAAGTAAGTCTCACTAGTCTCTCACCGATCCAGGTGATGTGCTCCGGTTTCGCCCTAGCAAAGTTATATTCTTTTTTTAGCGTGCCGGTATTTACATCGCCTGCCGTCGCTGCATTTGCCCATGCTTGGTAGCATTCCCGCTTTCGGCGGGACGCCGTTTTGCAGGATCTGTCGATCCAGGGCTTGGATCTGCCACCGATGGGAATTAATGTAGGAAGGAAGGAAGGAACAAATAGTTCCATGCCCTGAAGTACTACATCAGTGACAGATTCGGCAACGACGGTCTGATTATCCGGCAAGAAACAGATCTGCCTCCATGGGTAGGACGCAAAGAAGGAACGCATCCCATCCCAGTCCGCTGATTTATAGTGCCACACACGGCGGCAGCCTGCAACTCGCGGCCGCGGCAAGCCCTTGAGTGGCACTGTACTGCGGATTAGACAATGATCCGAGGAGCCAAGAGAGGCTTCAACGGCGATTTTGTAACCGTCCGGATCGGAGGTCAGCAGAAGGTCCAACAGTGAAGGCTCATGTCTTTCCACATCCGGAACTCGCGTGGGCGTTGATATCAGTTGTGACAAGCCATAGGTCAGGGCGAAATCGTGAACAGATCTCCCCGCGTGATCGTTCTTGGGGGAGCCAAGCCATGCTATTCTGATATTGGGCGACAAATTTTGACTTTTAGTTGAAAACAGATCTTCAGGTGCTCTAGTTTTTGAGATATAAAAGTAGCTAAGCTGGGGAGATAATCGCGAGGTAGGCCACCTAGAAACGCTTATAACTTTTCAACCAGTGACCGTCAAATTTATTTATTCTGATATTTGGCGACAAATTTCGACTACTTAGCAATTATTTTTTTGTGTTATCAAAATTTAAATCCCTGATCCCAAGCCAGTGTCGTTTACGCGAATTATTTTTAAGTTTTTTTTTTGTCTTCTGACGAGACAGCTAATGGCATGAAATGTGATTGACTTCCGTTATAATTACGTTAACGAATAGTAGAAAAAGAGTGTCAATATTATCTTATGGTAAGGATAATATTTCTCATTATGAATATGCTGCGGGGACGAAAACAGAGCTGTATAAATGTGTGTAAATGAAAAGAGCATTGTTTATATAAATATTTTATTTAGTAAGAGTTTATGAATGTTCTCCAGTGACGTACATGTGCACGGCTTTGTCGGAGCGCAGGAGGCGCGCGAGGCGGGAGGCGCCGAGCACGAGGGCCGCCCGCGGCGCATCGTACTGACAGAACAACACCGTCACCGTCATATTGCACTCACTACCGCCGTATTTGTTCTGGTTGAACTCCTACGAACACATTTATACAATGTCACATGAATTCACAGATAAATACAACTAAATGTCAAGGTCCGCAGATGTAGTGCATAAAGTTATAAATAAATCAATACTAAAAGCCGTATATGGTCGAGACATGTTTAAACTAGAGATAACATAATGTTCGGCTACTATTTGATATTGGGCCTACTCGGCTACCGAATACTAGATAAACGAAGTTAAAAAGTATTTATGGTAACATTTAACTTTTATGGGTTTAAATAATGTCACTATAAACTTTTAAATGAAATATTTACTCCTTAGGCTGTTTTTTACACACCATTGCAGAGCACACACATAAAAGGAACTGTGTTAGCGGATATCAAAACATTTTTGAATAGGGACTCAGACCTAATAGAAATCATTAAATACAACATACCTGCATTAAATTACACATTTCTGAGAAGAAATGCGGATATGTGGGCGGCTGGTAGAAAATTATATGACGTATGCCCTTAATTCTAAATCTCCTGAAGAAATGCACTCTTTCCGAATACAGCATAAAGTGGGCTTCTGTGTGAAAGAACATGTCTCTTGCTCGGGCTATTTTGGCATCCTGTAATAACATTCCGTTAAAAATAAAACATTGTGCGCTTTGTGTTTCAAAAAAATTGCAAATTAGAAAAAAGGCCTGTAACAAGAAGCAATAACTGCCATTTTTACGACGATTAGTGCAATCAAAAGACCACACAAATTGTTCTGCAGCGTTCATATGGTATATTTTATGTGATAAGTGTAAGGCAATATCTCCGGGCGGTGATGTTCGCCTGATCAAATAGTTATAACAGATACTCTTCATCGAAGCGGTGGCGAAAGCAGCCAGCAGAGAAACCGTAGCTTTACCGCCTCTTGGCAATAAGAAGCAAGAAAGAGATTTCTTTCACAGTCAGTAAGGTCTAGAATATTGGTGCAGTATAATAAGGTGATCTTGAAAACAATAATTATAACTATAAAAACTCTTTGTTTAATAATGCTGGTTTCCGAATTTCAAACAACAATAGAAATGTGATTTTCACCCTAAAATTCAAGTACGCCAAAACTTACCTTCGAATATTCACATATCTGGACGAAGCCAATGTCTTCTTTCTTAAAATAATTTCTCAACCTAACATAATCGAAGTAACTGGGCACATAAATGAGCGTGTGGCTCATAAGCATATCACGTTGTTTTGGGAGAATCTCTTTGATAAAGTACTGAAATCTAGCCTCCACTGATTCCAATGGATTGGCTGCTGTAAACCTGTATAAATAAACAAATACATGTATGTTAAAAAATCACAAGGCTCCAGAAATTATGTACTAGGTTTTTTATTGCTGTTCATCTTATATAGAAACGTGTGAGTATACCTGCAGTACCTATGTTAATGTTAAATATTTATTTATTTACATATCCGTATTTGTAAAAAAATAGCGTTATTTTAGAATTACGTGACTTGTGAACCATTTTAGTTTGGTTGACTTGAAGTAGTCATTTAGGTACCTTAATGAGGATTATATAATTTTGCCACCTATTAAAGTTTTATGATGTAAAATAATGATTAAAATTCAGAACTATGTGATTGTTTTGAACACATTTTGTTTCAAAATTTATCTTGTAGGTAGATCTTAAATCATAACAAAAATATTTTGTTAAATTAATAATAATATTAGTTAAATTACCTGTGAAATATCTGTGGTATTTGAACCATCACTTGCTGTATACTGCCAACTTCTGGAGGATTTTCTACAAGTACTTTGCCTGCATAGTTATGACATTTTTTGTTGATAAGCGACTTAATTTCTGGTAGTGCTAGTGATGATAAAATTATAGTCTGTCTGAAAAACAATAAATTATTAAAATATACCTTTTTGTTTGCTTCATTTGATTAAAAGTGTACCCTAACATACCTTTAATTAATATGCGAAATTTCAAAACCTAAAAATAGATAGATGTCAGTAAAAATTCTTGGTTACTTGTAATTCAACTCGTTTTTAACAAACAACACGACCATAGGTAGGATACTCCTTTTTGTACTTACCACAATATAGGCATAGTTGTTAGCCTAATGAATAGGGACACTGCAGATTGCGTCGTATCGGAAAAAACGTAGGGAAATTGATGAATTAACTCCTACAAACCAAATGTGTTCATACAGCACACTGGCCATACTCACAGAGTGGCTGTGCGCCATATGCGCACATATGCCAATGTAACTTGGTCAAAATGATAGGAAACCCAATGATATCATGTGTGTATGTACCTAAACATTCACATTAATTCTCATATAGATAAGAAACACACAACATGTAATGCGTTCAACCAATAATTTAACTAACTAACCTATAATATTTTGCCCAACCATTAACAGCCCAAGACCTTACTCTAGAGATGTCAGAGCCATGCGTCTTCTTGGGCTGCAAGTGGAAATGATCCAAGACATGCAATAAATGATCCCAATTTTGCATGAGGAAAACATCAGTTTGATCCATGACAAGTATTTCTATAGATGCCAAGAAGTCATAGTCGCGGTCCTCTTCACCCTCTGCCCCAACTATCATTCTTAATCCTAATGGTGATGTCACTATAATGTCTGAGGAGTAGAAGTCAGTGTATAGCTGTAACAAAAGATTACATTTTCGATACAAAGCCAAAACCTTTAAATATTCTTATTGATTCTGCTCATGACTGTATGATTATTTGTCATTTGATATTTTGTACCTTGAGAGCTTTCTTTGTTACTGTCATTCCCAGTCTAAAGGTGTCTTCAGTGTTTCCACAGAACAAAAGTTCATAGTCCTCAGGCTTTGGATTTTTCTTTGGCATGATCAGTTCACCACCAGTGAAATCTTCTTCAAACCTCTTTTTATTTACAACTTCTCCTGCTTCTTTTGGTACTAAAATGTCAATCAGAGTTTTGACAATCCTGTAAGCAGAATCTTTGAATGGTACCATTATCAGAACCTGTAAATAAGTTGAATAAATTTAATATATTTTGAACAGATAAAAGTATCACTTAAATATATACATTTGTACATGGTCATTAACTTGGAATACTATTGTATGTATAATACCCTGAATTGGTATACAATGAAGATTATTCTATTCTATTCTATATACTTACATCTACATAAATATGTTTGTGTAGATGTAAGTTAGTTGTAAGCATATGATGTAATATATGCAGCTAGAAATGTCACTCAGTAACTAGAAAAAGAAAAGAAATGCCTACAATTGACTGTGCTGACTGCAAGGCTCATTGTTAGTAAAAGTTGTGACATTTTGTTACATATTGCTTATAATTTCGAGATTTTATTTTATTTCTAAATTGAAATAAAATTCAAACAAAAAAATACAATTTTAGGTTAATACAGTTTGATGTTAAATCCTAAGTATACAATAGTTGATCAATAACTTATATAGTGGGTGATGTTTGCCTTTCATCAAATAGACTGTCTAAGGCACATTACACAGTTATCACTTGCATGCTACATATTGTTATCTATATCTATCTATATAACGACAACAAAAAATATAACATGCATGCAAATTTTGGAGTATACTATTCAGATTTTTAACCTGTATTAAAAAAAAATCAGACACCTTAGCTGTTATGTTACCTGTGTTTTTCTTTTTTATTACTATTAGCTCTTATGTTAAGATATATAAATGAGGTTTGCCTCTAAGAAGTAGCACATACCTTGGGCCTCACCAATCCTTGATCCCGATAATCATCAGACAAATCATTTTTCTTCGACAATTTAGCATTGTGATGTATAATTTTAGTTCTAGTTTTTAACATATGATTGATTACATGGAGACAATATGTATATCTTATTTCATTGGCATTTGTGAATGTTCTTTCTGGATAGTATAAATCTTGATAATTGTTCAAAATTGAGAATAGTTCTTTTTGAAGAGGTGTAAATATTTCTGATAGTTCTAAATCTCTTTTTATTAAATTGGTTTTATTTGCTGATACTATTTTATCATGTATTTGTGATTTAATATAAAGCTTTTGAAAGTCTACTTTGTTGACTATTGTGGGTGGAGATCCAGTTGTTGCATATATTTTATCCTCCAATAATGTCATTTTTGGTTTAACTTTTTTTGATAATGTTTCTATTGGCTTAGGTATTGCTATAGATAGATTTTTTAAAGTAGGCCAGGACTTGTTGATAATTTCTAAAGAGGGTGAAGTACTATTAAGCGATACAAGTAACTCATCTCCAAGATCATAGAGCAGATGCTTGTTGAAAGGATCATCTGCTTCATCTTCAACTGTTTCTTCCTCTTTTGGTATTAAAACCTGGAAATTATAGTACTATTAACTAATAAACACGATTTTGTGAATTAAAACTTTTGCTAACTAAAAATAACATATTTACATGGTAATTTTTAATTATATTTCTAACATAATTTCAACAAACAATAGATGTGTAAAGTGAATACATATTTGTATATTAATTAATATATGGTGTGTATATATTTAAATATAAATATATTATTGATATGCAGTGTTGTGTAGTGTATTGGTATTGGTTGTGGGCTTTGGTTTCCGCATTTAGACTCAGAGTGGTCCTTTATGCGTCGAGGATTGGTTGACTAGGTGAGCCAGCCAAGCTCCTTCCAGAAGCGCAGAAGCCTCCTGGGGCATTGTGTAGTGTATATTTTAGTTAATTAATAATGTAACCTATTTGCGCCTACTACTCATGAATTCTACACCACCTAGACATTGTCTGGAAGAGAACGCCCTGGGCATTCTGTCGATGAACAAGAGTGCATAAAATTATTTAAATATATAAAAAAAAGGTAATACAAATAAAAAATGATGGGTTTCATACTTAACTAAATGTTGCTCATACCTCAGTGTAGTCATCACTACTTTCGCTCCTTGCATCTAAAGAATCTTCATCTCCATCGTTAGTACTTGATTTAGTTTCTTTCATGTCCTCATCTGCAGCTTCTTCCTCACCACTGCTTTCATCTTCACTCTCAGTGGCTAATCTGTTCTTACTGTAAGTAAAACAGGACACTAACTGTCCATAAGCATTTTCTTCTTCCTCCTCTTCACTTTCTATATAACTATTTTGCTGTTTTAATTTTAATTCCATTCTTTTCTTTTTCTCCATCTCTTCTGCGATCTTCTGTGCATTCTTATATCTATTAAAAACCGCCTTTTTATTTACAATCTTGTCTTCTCCAGCTTTTCCTTTTTTTTTTATTTTAGGTTTATTTACACCTTTCTTCTTCAGAAAGAACTTTTTACCCTTCTTCATTATAACTGATTTTACTGAAGTATTAGTGCTAAAGGTATTTTCCTCCTAGTTGTGAAATTTTAATAACATGCAGAGGCCTCTGAGCATGTTGTGATGACAGCTGAGGCCTGTGGCAACAGAGCAACAAGTCAACAATAAAAACATGCCCATTTCTAACCTAAAAGACAAGTTAGAGTAGAGATGGACGATATACATCGATTTATTTAAAACACTCGATGTATAGTAACGATGCATCGTATTAAACCGATGTATTGTTAATACTTCAACATCGAATATATATCGATGTTTTTTATTCGATGCATCGACCAAGCAAATTATGAATGAGTATAGAGTTGTATAGCCGCCAAATAGCTATAGTTTATTGAACGGGGTTCTTTTAATTCGCCCGTTGGAACGCTGTAGGTCGTTCGACTAGTATTATTCGTTTGTTCGCGGGAAAATTAAATTAAACTTGATTTTTATTATGTGAAAATACTAGATTATGAATTCACTTTAAATAAATACTCGCTGAATTGAACGAAGGAACCGACTGAAGGGGAAGAGATTAAGTAAACTTTTGTTTTTACATGGCATTGACAAAAAATATTGGAATATGTAAAGAAAAATGTGTTGGTTGTGTGATTTTGAATTTGAATAAATATACACGGTGATTTTGAAAGCGTTTTGGAAAAGAAAATTTTGAATTATTTATCAGTAACAGAAGCTATATATAACGTTAATTTAATAAAAAATATATTTTTTTTATCATCAAAGTCGATATTCATATCGTTTACAGAGAAAAAGTCAGAACCAGTAGTAGTAGGCTATTCAATCACACGTAGGTAAATACTACGAATAGAAATACCACGGTACAATTAAAATACAGTAGTGTAACTCGGCCGCATGATAGAAATAAATGCCTACAGCCGCGCGGTACGTAAACATGCGTTAGGGCTGCCCGTCTCCAGCATTTTAATTAGATTCTATAGCATTTTAATTGCATTCTATTTAGATTTGTGATTGAAAATACCCTTTTTATATAAATAAAAGAAATACTTTGTATATTGAATAGGAAGTGTTCAATAAAAATGCGTGTTGTTTTTTGATTCACTCTCTATAAATTTTGATACACTACCTATTTCACTCGTCTCAATAACTTTCCGTTTTTTTCGTGAGATAAAAGGAAATACTTATCCATTAAAAAGACACACATTATGTACCTACCTACTAGTAAGTAAAATTATTTTATAGTCTTACCTTTCAGAGTTTTCAGGTAATTTAAAAAAACTTATGTCTGGATGCGTTATTGACGAATTCATACAACCAAAAACAGCACAATATTTCCTACTCGTCATATTAACTGATTTTTAGAGAAAAAATCGCGCGGTTATTGTTAAAAGAACAACACACAGTCCGTTCGACACTGCGGTACAGCCGTGACTGTCTGCGCCCCGAGCGCACCCCGAGATCGAGGCGCGTAGGTATAGCTCGCGTTTCGTCCGTTTGTATGAAGTTGGAGTACTGTATTATAATAGTACCGTGGAAATACTATGCGTTTTAATATCGAGTCACATCAAATCGTATTCGCCAATAAAAACAAAGCTACCGAGGTGCGCCGGAGTCGTCCAACCAATGACGTCTGCCCCGTAGGCGCATGCGCGGGGCTCACCTGTCATCGTCAGTCGGTCAGTAATACCATAACATAGTGACGGCACGCTGCATTGATTAGCGCTAAAATGAGTCGACAGTACGAATTTTCAAACGTGGAATACTTCTTGGCAATGGTACAGCTGTACGCTACTGCCAACTACAACTTGGAAGAGGCTCGGCGTTTGTATTCCCAGCCGGAGCATTTAAATGCACTACGGCTACGTGGAATTGAAAGCCCTCAAATTCCCTCCACACCTACCATCTTGGCTGCAACCCAACGTCTTCTCGACCACGGACACTTTCGTGCGCCTACTCATGCGCAAGGTCAAGGACGTTTTAATTATTATTCGCCGGAGTGTAGTGCGTGCATACCTGGACAATGAGCTTAGTGATCGGTGGATAGGTCGAGGAGGGCCAGTGCCTTGCCACCTAGAAGCCCGGACTTAACGCCCCTGGATTTTTTCTTATGGTCGGAAATAAAAATACTTGTTTATACACGGGAATATGAAAGCCGTGATAATTTACGCATTGCGATAGTGGACGCTTTTGATAAAGTGAAAAGTGATAGAGACACATTAAGAAAATTAAAAAACAATTGCATTAATCGTGGACGTTTGTGTATTGAATGCAGCGGACTCCATTTTGAGCAGTTCCTTCGATACAGAGAACTGTAAATAGTGTAAATAGGTATGTAAGTTAATTATTCTGTAGATGGCTCCGATTTTTTAAATACGCCTGAAATAATTATACCTACAGTCCGTTGATAAATTGATTTGTTGTGAAAAGAACAATCGTGGTTAATAATTGTGACAAATTGGAGTCTATCTACGTAAGTACTCGCTAGCTCGCGCCTATAGGTATACTTTTGTCAGCTGCTGTGTTAGCGTCGGCGGTGCGCAGCGGCCGCCGAAACGCCCACGGACGTGTTTCATTCATATAAGATAATGAATGAACGATCAGTCCATTACTACTTTCCAAGTCGATCGAGTAAAAATGAATATTAAAACTGAAACTTTTTTTTAGACAACATTACAATTGATTTAATCATTTTTATTGGTACTATAGATGATTCCAAATTCAAATATTTCGTTTCCAAAACGCTTTGAAAATCACCGTGTATTTCCTGCTTTTATTAAAAAAATTTTTTTTTTATTATGGTCTTTTTTTTTTTTGGTCTAACCTAACCTAAAACACGTCATGGCGAAAATAATCGATGTTTAAGAAACATCGATGTATTTCTCAATACATCGTATTACCATCGATGTGACCGATCGATGCATTACATCGAAAAAAACATCGATGTATATTTTAAATGTCCATCTCTAAGTTAGAGACCTATAGAGTTGGACGAAATACAATTTGACATCCACTTGTCTATAAATCTCTATGGTACTAATTTCTAGATTATTTTCAAATTAAAAAATGCTTTAATCCGATGCATCTGATCCGATGCTTAACCAATAGAAAATGTCGGAAAAGGTTCAGTGTTAATCAATAAATTCAACGATCACCTGTACCAGAAACTTGTCAATGAAGTATTTTGGTACAAGTGAGAAACTCTGACTGACTTTTATAACTTATGTTACTGTAAATCAAGTAGTTACGATTTAAAGAAAGCAGCTGAAAACTTATGGATGTACACTGCCCAAGAGCGGGATAGTCGGCGCTCCTTGATTTAGCATTGGACGGCCTTCGTTTAGCATTGGACAGCCATAGGCTGATGATGACAATAATGATAACTTGCCTAAGAATTAACTTGAAATCGAACAAAAAAATTGTTTCGGCTAGCTTCTATAACTTTTAAACCACCATCATCTGTTTCCACCCCACAGCACTTTTTACTCAAGCAGGATACATTTATTAGCATACTTGATAACTCATTTGAGGCATTTCCAAGTAGCTCAGTCGATTACCGACTTTTTCCAAAATTTAGACAACTTTTTAGTGGGTAAAAAATTCAATTCCCGAGAGGCAGTACAAAATGCCTTTGAAGAGTTTGTTGCCTCCCGTCCAGCTTATTTTTACAAGAAGGGCATCAATAAACTGCCAATGCGTTGGCAAAGATGCGTCGATTGCATGGGTGATTACTTCGAATAACAGAAATAAAAAAGTTTGAAAAAATAAGTACTTTCACTTATTGCATACAAAACGGCAATTTCATAGGTAAAGACCTATTATTATAAAATTTTATATGAATTACATGATTCAAATGAAATTTTACGTATGTACATTAAATAATAATAAATAAATTTATTTCAGACATTAGTCCATAAATGTGTTGGTAACAATCATCTTACAAATAAGTTAGTTCTACATTAAAACAAAAACAAATTACAACATAAATCGTGGGGATGCGCTAGTATGCAGACGCATCCACCTTTGTAGGACTGGAAGGTCCCACCTCTCGGACAATACTCTCAGGATGCCATTGGTGCTGCTTGGCAGTCGCTTGGACATTGACGCGCTCCGCTGCCTTTTGATCGCATAAAAGTCATCGCACTGTGCCTCCGCGAACATGTTTGTGCGCTACAAAACCTCGGCAGATTCAGTAGCACCCTGAAAGCATTATTGTACTGGACACGTAGTGCGCTGTACGCCCGCTGCGTAAAGTTAGTCCACAGGCTGCACGTGTAGAAGGACTGACAAAATGCTTTGAAAAGAGTAACCTTGACTGGTGTGGTACGTGCGAACCTGTGAGCCAACTTACTACACCGGACAGACTGCGCCCTACGCTCCCTCTCAATATCAAGGTCATCCGTCCCAGTGATCAAGGTACTTAAACTTATTTACTCTCTTTAAAGGAGTTCCGCAAAGCATTTGGTACCAGCTTTAAAGATCATAAACTCACTCTTTTTGGCATTATACTTGAGACTATGACTCGCCGCATATGTCTCACAGATACCTAGCAACCTATGTAGTGCACCAATCGATCGGCTCAGCAACACCATGTCATCGTTGATAAACCAGGCCTAAACCCAAACTGTGCCTCATGCTGGTGCTGTTCCAACTGCCGGTCAAACAAACTGTCCAGCACCTTAGCAATGACAGCCGCAAGTGAAATTGGTCTATAATTAGACATATTCGACAGTCCAGGCTTATCCTTTACGATAAGCACAACGTCTGTGTACATTTAATCGCCTGGTTATAACTAAGACTAATACACAGGTTAAACAATAAATTAAAATAAAATAAACTTTAGCATAGTATGAACATACATTAAATTTGTTCTAAAGGTAGAGGATAAAATCTCTTTATTTTTGGTTTATTTAAGTATAAACCAAAAATAAATTTCTTTCACTTTGTCCAATTTTCTGTAACTGGGATTGGCAACACTAATGTCATTTCGTTTTATTTAATTCGATTCTTTCTTTTTGTTTTGTCAACTTGACTAGAGGCGCGTCTCATTCAAGTTGCTTCTAGATTTATTAATTTCTTTTATTAAAATAGCTGCACTGTTTAACATACAATGTCGGGTGAAGATTCGCCAGTTCTATCTAGGAAAACATGGGCTCGTACAATAGAACCAATCACAAAAGTAAATAAATTTATAATAAATAAAGTTTGTAGTTTTAAAATATTTGTCTTGAAAGGCTGTACCCTGTTTTACATTGCAGATTGGATATATGGACGGCGCATCTGATGCTCAAGCTTCTGTATATCAAAAAAGCTTTGATGTAGGTTATGAGCAAGGATTTAATTTTGGGTTACAATTAGGGTTAACGGAAGCCACAATATGGTAATAATTAAGTAAAATAATAAAACTTGTATTTAAGTTACAAAAAACCCTAATGATATTTTATTATACTTTACAGCAACAAACAAAAAGAAATAATGACTAATACTCTAATGGATCCGAGAAAAATAAATTGCCAAATTTGTTTAAATGAAGTGAAAAGTCAAGAAAATATTGGCAATTTATATAATATACAAAAAGAGAAAAATTTAGAATTGCTAGAGACTCAGCAAACATTGTATAATTCCATGACTCAAAATTAAATACTGAAAAACAAATAGACCGTTTCCAAATGAGATTCATTGTCTTAATGCGATTGTCACAGGATATTAGGTATTCATTGGAATGTATTAAATAATTTAATTTAAAAAATCCTTATTAAATGTAATACTAGTAATCGACTAACTAATGATGCTACATTATAAATAACAGATTACACATTATTCATTATAACCTAGGTTTCTTTTCTGGTGGAGGTTTCATATTTTCTTGCTTGATTTCAGTTTTAATTTCTGCATGTCCTTGAAGACCTCCATTGGTCATATCCGAGACGGGAGGATCCACAGGTTCTTGTTTTATGGTAATGTTATTTACATTAGACTCAGTTTTCTCAGCATTTTTATCGGTAGAATTTTCACTCTTTACAGTTACACCATTTGACTGTAATAAAACAAGCTTTATTAAAATTTATAATTAATATGTTGAACTATCACATAGTCCATGTAATGTACCACATTACTTTAAAAGAAATATATTAATGATGAGCTGGAGAAGTTGGTGAAATCTAATGTACTATTATTAGCAACTTTCATCATAGCAGCATTATACTTGACACTCTCAAGGGATGTCACAAATCATAATTTCAAATGTTATACTTTAATTTTATAGTCTTTTACATAATAGTTTTTATAGCTTTCAGGCATTCTCTCTTCACTAAAAATTTCAAAGCCTAGTATTATGTATCTCTTCTATATGTGTTGACTTAACTCACTTGATTGGTAGTCTGTGTGATAGGCAAAGGAAATTGCCTGACTAATTCAGCCAATAACATATCAACTCTCTGTCTCTGGAAGAGTGTTGAGGGTTCTTCTTTAGGGGTGCTGCTAGCATCCTTAGTTGAGGATTGACCTATACTGTATGGACTTAATCCTGAAAGTCAACAGTGTGTTAGATAGTAATATAGATAATAGATAAATAAATGTGCAATACCAAAACAATGACATATTTAGTACTTATTGGAAATATTCCAATACCAACACCAGGATTGGGGAGACAGGAGACATCAATCATAATAAATACATAATAGGTTTTTTAATGAACTAGTATACCTGGTTTAGTGGCTTTGAAATCCCACCAGTATCCTTTACTGGGATGATATCTTGAGTATGACATAGTTTCCTCAAATGAACATTGTAAATGATGAACTGCAGATAGCTAAAAAACAAAATAAAAAAAGTTAATGTACTCATATACTAGTAGTACTTAGTCCAGGCACTATGTTAACTTATATCTCTTACCAATCTTGAATTTAGAACACTAGCTAGATCAGGCGCCTGATACACAATACCGGCAATAATATAATAATCGGCAAGCGGCGTGGCTTGTGTTGGACTATGTCTGTGTTGTTTACGAATCACATACAAGATTGGATCTTGAACATGCAATAAAATGTATTCTAGGCCAGTCATATTTCTGCAAACAATCATGAATATAGTTATCATTAATACAATTAGTTTATAGGCAATCAAATTCAGTTCTCAATAACTTTATTTAAAACAAATAAATAGAACAAAGTAAGAAATCCTACAATAAATACACTTACTGAAGCTGATCCATACTAAGGCGCTGCATTTTAACTATTTCATTGTTGCAAGTACGATCGAAAAAAGGATTAGAACGTTCAGAAAAATAATCCATTATATTTGAAGGGCTTAGTAGAGGAATCCACGCTGAATCGTGCCAGGAAAGACCTAACGGATTCTCTGCTGCCAATGGTAAATTACCAATTCGTCCGGGCATCATCTTGATTAATTTTAAGATTATGAGACCAAGTAGGTAGACCAAAGCTTTGGAGATGGTTAAGACCGAGGTGTTAAATTAGAGAATGCTTTTTATTTATCTATTTACTATAAAATATTATACGAGTAAATACAATTCGTCACCCAAACAAATAACCAAGTACAGCAGGTAGTTAATTAAATTCTACAACAGATAGGTATATGGTATATGCTAACAAACAGCAGTTCCATGACTTCCATGGCAGTTATCACGGTTATCATGTACTCTGTGGTTATCATAATAATGACATAAACATAAATTGTTGCCGTATTAAAAATTAATAATACCATAGACAGTACACCATTGTATAGTCCTTCATTACAATAATACCAACAACATAACCATAGAGAGAACACGGGGTACAGCTACCTGTATGTGGAAGCGTTACAGTCAACGAGAGAGGTGGCTGCCCGATATTTTCCTCTGTCTGTTTAGCTAAGCTGCGATTGGCTACTTATTAACCCCTCATATTTCCCAGCCAACCACAGAGTTCGAAAGAGATAGAGCCTTTTTTTTATTGACGGGGTGGAAAATCCCTTCGGATTTCCTGCTCTTCGGGGACTCAGGAGCCAGGAGTATGTGGTGAATGACCTAAAAACTACCCCGAAGGCCGGCCTCAGGTACCCTACTCTGGGAGGACCCAGACTATGTTATTTCAGGTCCTCCCCGAATCGACACCATGCCTAATCAGGCCCTAACCCAGGGGAAAACACTTCCCCCCACACAATCGCGACTTTGCAGCCCAATAGGCAAAATAGGGCCGGCATAGTGCCCGTGATTACCGTAGGAGGGGATCGAAGGGGGGGGGGGTTCAAGATAATTAAACATATATAAGGGGCACGAAATACCGGAATATTAATATAAAAAAAAAGAGAAACAAAAGGCATTACAGAATCAATCTTCTGTTTTTCTTTTTAAATATATCCACTACTTCATTTGTATCAATTTCTTTTCCAATAGTTGTTTTCCAATGTTCAACAGAGCCAAACCGTTCAGTCTGTTTTCACTCGTTGTGTTCCGCAAGTAGTTTCTAAGTATCTTTAGGCTTGAAAATGTCCTTTCTGGGATAGCAGTGGAAACAGGTATGGTAACCAATATTTAATCAAATAATTAAAATACGGCGTGCGTTCCCAACACTCAGCTCTCACCTTGATTGCCGGCGGTGTGGTTCTGTAGCTGGTGTGGGTTGAGCTAGTGCTGGTCTTGAAGAAAGGCGATGAATGGTTGGAGCTGCAATTGTTCGTGGTTCATTGGTAGGTGGGCTTATTATTTATTAGAGTTGCACTTCGTGGTTAAGACGAAGGTATAAGCTGCTGGTGACTCGCGAATGTACTACAAAGTCGCTCGTCTCGCGTAGTTTGTAGTATGAATGTGGGCTGAGCTTGCGAAGGGATTATGGGTGAATGAAGTGCAGGTGGGTTTCACCGGCGCAAAGATTGGATTGACTAATGGTTGAGGATGTTGCCGAGGAGATGCAGGCATTGGTGAGGGTTAAGGCATTGGTTATTGGACATCAGTCTCGATGATGGTTCATTTCAACCTGCATTGTGTTCGGATGGGAAAACCATGTCGAAACCGGTCAGAATATATTCTGAATGGGGCGTAAAAAACATACTGGTGATTGTGTTTGTACATACGGGTGTTTCTGTTTGTATCTCCTGTAATTAAAAATAGTATTGGTTAGGCGAGCCTTATACAACTCCATAAAGTCCCAAACTAATCAGAGCTTGTACTATGGCTACTAGACAACTGATATAAATACATATATACATATATATTTTTTTTGTAAATACATACTTATTTTACATAGAAACACTCAACTAAATCAAATTGTTAAATCAATTAAATGTTCATGCACACAAATGTTTGACCTGATCGGAATCAAACCCGCGACCTTTGGAATAGCAGTCCGTTACACAAACCACTACGCCATCCGGTCGTCTAATTGTTGGCCGGGTGAATGTATGTAACCTAAATGGTGTAAAAAATTAAAAAATGTTTTTGTTTGCCTCTATTTTTTTTTTAAAGTGCATGGCTTGCCTCTGTTTTAAAAATGTACAATGTTGACATTAAGTGGTAAACTTAAAAGCAGCTAACAACCTCATAGTAGACTGTGTGCTTGTTAACTACCTTAGTCGAGTAGAAAATAATAATAGTGTACTATTAAACTTACAACAAATCCCTTAATCAACCCTTATTCCTGGCAACCCGGAACCAAAATCATTTCCAAGTCTATCAAAGAATTTCCTTTGTTATCAATAGGCGCCTTGCTTGTTGACTGTCCTCCACCAGTGTCATGTTGAGCTGATGCATATGCTGCGGCCAACTTTTTTTATTCTGCTTTCCGGACCCCTCCTAGCACCTGCGCGCAACGGCTCGGGCACCTTATGTCTTAATAACAGCAGCTTCCGGATCCCTCCTATTACAGACGCAGAGTGGCACACCGTGTGGTTTTCCTTCCTTTCCGCGCACGGCTTCTTCGGGAACTACCTGCACTCGGTCGCTAGGAGGGAATTGAGTCCCGCCTGTCACCACTGCGATTGCAGTGAGGACTCGGCTCAGCACACGCCGGCAATTTGCCCGGCTTGGGCGCCGCAGCGCCGGGTTCTCATTGCAGTCATCGGGGGACTCTCGCTACCGGCCGTCATACGCTCCATGGCCGGTAGTAATAGTAGTTTTACCGCGGTCGTATTCTTCTGCGAAGACGTCATCTCGCAGAAGGAGGCGGCGGAGGGGGACAACATCCACTCGGACCCAATTCGCCGCCGACGAACCAGCGCCTCATGCCGCCCTGAGTGTGGCCGCGGGTGGACGGGACGGATTTTCGCCTCCACCCGTCATAATGGCCAGCCGCGAGGAGGCAACGTCCGCGTATGCCGAACGCCTCCTAAATATCTCTATTTAGGAGCCGGGACGACCAATGAACCATCGTGGCTCGGCGAGCGGCCTCACGCCTACAAACATGCACTATAATAAACTAGAAATCACTATATATCTCGTTAGTCGCACTAGAAGTTCACTCCGATATTAATTCGCTGTGTCGTAAAACGATATTATCTCGAACGGCCAACACGCTCCGCTTTTATAGCGCTTTTGAATTTTACTAAAAAGATCCCTAGTATTCGAAAGTTCGTTCCAGACAACAAGAATATTCCAGAATCAGTCACGCGTACTTGCAGCGCCATCTAGCGCTGTAAGGATCAGAACTATGAACCGCAATCTTAATAGATGTACTTTACTCTATACTAGATGGCGCCTCGACATTCCATACAATTCTGGAACAATCGAACCATTTAATTCTATGGCGTAATAATACTTTAAATTCAGTAAAAAAAGCCGCGGCTAACAGAGAGATCAACAGACACCGAATGTGTACGAGTTTGTGACAGGTAGATTCAAAAGAAACCGTACGTTCAACGATGCTTTAAAACCACAATGGTTCTAAAAAAACGATGAACATTTGGTATACGTTATAAAACTTGAAGAAGTAAGCCTTAAATGCATATGCTTACGAACTGAGGCATTAAGTCGTTAATTTCCATTTATATTTTTGAAGATCAGCCTTAGTTGCTTTAATTTGTTAGCCTTAAGTTTCGGAATACAATTTAAGTCGTACAAGTGAAAGAGATGCAAGAAACAAAATTTGTATTGCGTGATCTCTTACTCACAAAGCCAATCAAAGGCAGATCAGCGATCAAATTACACTAGTTTCAATAAGTATAGTGGTTCAAATGCTATGCAGTATTAAGCACGTCATGGTACGAATTATAACCATTCAGTTTAGGAGCTCATATTGCATTCGAAAACGTCCTGGTAAGCCTGAAGTGCGTATATTACTCCAACCGTCACATTGATGATGTTGATAATTTGCTCAACTCTATACGCATCCCATTATAAATTTTGTCCAAATATTTGGTAGCAAGTGCTTTTAGTGGTGGCATTTTAAATTTGGCCTTTTTATCCAAATACCATGTTTTCATTTGGGTTTTACACTAGTGGACTCTTTAAAGAAATAGCGAGATGTTGAGTAAATTTGGCTACGTTGCTAAGTTGATAAACTTTGTCACAAAAACTTGCATTTACTTAATTTGTTGGCTAGCTCCTTAGCTCCTTACATAGTATATGGATATCTTGGCCGTCCCACTGAAACTGAAATAAAATAGCAGTAGTCAGTTTTACGATGGATGCCAAAGTATGAACGTAATTGTTTGGGGCTAGGACTATACAATACATTTAAACATAGTATTCCTATTGTAAAATTTATGTCATAATTAGCGTATGCGCTTCGCTACACCCGCGTGGATTACGGTTCCCGCGGTCTCACAGGAACCGTCATATTAATAAATTAGGGTTATAGTCTATCAAATATACCAAATTCAAGTAACAAACAAACTTACTAAGATTCACATTTTTAGTACTAATAGGATAGGGTATAAACTGTGTTTCACCTAGCATTTTTGATAAAATTAAAATGTCGGGCGGGGTTATAATGGTTACGCCAATTTTTATAAAAGGTCCGGAACAAGTAGGTACCTTATTAATGTTTATCAGTGCAATTGGCTAATAGCAAGGTAATTTAAAAAAAAAGTGTGATTACAGTCTAGTTTGGTTTGAATATACACCACAGTAGAAGTTGAGTTGATTTAGTGCTGTCTTAGCTACAAATCGAACAAATGTAATCATCGCCGTCATCAGCTACCGAGTACCGGCCGTCCACTATAGCCAGCGTTAGATTCAAAAGAAATCAATAAACAGACCCTCTACATTGTTAAAAATACTTCTGCATTGACACAATAAAAATTTACAACTTTGCTTCCTTGTCTCTTTTTTGAACCAAAATAATAATCTCTATTCTGCAGTTGGGTAGTTTTAATTAAAAATCAAAACCATTAAATTACAGCCCTATAGATTTCTTACGCTTTCTTTTACTACTCTACCCAACTACCCACAGAGTACAGTAACACTAGCTACTAGTGATGCGCAAAATGTATCACTGAGCTGAAAAGATTGATACATATCATTTCGCTCTAAAGATATATATCACTCATCTAGCTCAATAGCTCATTTAGCTCACTAACTCGTTTAGCTCACTAGCTCATTGATCCGATTCAATTGATTGGTCTCTCAATTAATTCATTTCTTCATCTAGATCGTTTAGCTCAGTATACTCGTATATCACTCACTTCAAGCCTCTCTCGCTGTACAAACCATTCTTTATTTTCATATTAACCTTAATTCAGTTCTTGAAAATGCATTTTTTTTCTATTTTTTTTAAAAACAATTTTATTAATTTTGATAAGATTACCTACATAATTATTAACACCCTTTTATATAATAATTAAAAATAAGAAATACGTATAATAATTATTTCTTGATTTTTTTTTTAGGTTGTACATTAGAAATCATACATAATTATATACATAAATTGATTTTCCTTGTACTTGATATGCTTAATTCTTAAGTAATATTAAACTTTGATCCTATAGAAATAATGTACATTTTGCAAAAAAAAAATCGGTTGTCTGTAAAGTCGGTTTACTGACGATAGTTGAACGTGACAACGTCATAAGAAAATACTGATGGAATGGTTGCATTTTTCAAAAATGTATTATTGTATACGAGTAGCAGCTGTCCACGCGGACGCATCGCTCACTTAAGTAGGCTAGTTAGTACGGTAGTAGTTAGTACGGATGGCGTAGTGGTTTAAGCGGTCGCCACGCCGCTTCCTACTACGCCGAGTGTTGTGGGTTCAAACCCCACATGGGACGACACTTTGTGTGATCCACAAATTGTTGTTCTGCGTCTGGGTGTTCTTTGTATCCGTTTCATGTATGTTTGTAAAGTCCCCCGCGATACAGGATTTATTCCTAATGCGGGAGTTGTCTTTTTAAAAAGAAAGAAAAGAAAAGAAAAGAAGTAGGAGAGAGACAGATGTCGAACGCTGCCGAACGCGGAGGCCGATTGTGCCTCTTTGTCACTCGTTCCGCGCTCTCACTTGCACTTCACGCCTTAAATGGAACGCCTCAGAGCGAGGTAACGCCGCATGAGTCATGTTTTTTCGTGCGTGCAGCAGGCTCCATCGAATTATAAGACGTTGTCACGTCAAAAAACTTGCGTGAGTTCAACCATCATCTATCTCACTCATTTATCTTTAGTCTCACTCGCTCATGAGACAAAGATCAGCGTCGTTGAGCTAGTGATCTAGTGAGCTAGTACTGAGTTACTGATATATTCGGAGCAAGTCTGAGTGAGTGATACATTTTATCGTCGTGAATGATATATATCTTTTATATCACTCACTCAGGAGCTACACAACTCTACTAGCTACTACCTCTTGACACTTTTACCGTTGTCATTGTCACTTGTCATTCGCTTGTCATTGTGTTTTACTGAGGATAATAGTTCTGCTGTTATTGTTTATTTAATTTAAGAAAAATCCTGTCAGAAACCAACCGTTTACATGTCAAGGGGTTTTTCTTATGACTAGTCGTAATCCCGTTATCAGTACCATTGCCCAAAGACTTTGCGTACTTATGGAAAATGTTCTTTGGTCGTAAAACATTTTGCTGACCAGTCACCTAACATTGACTCGGAATACAGCAGGTATGAAACAATCGATATAATGAACGGCTCTAGTAGCATTGCGGTCCATAATCCTGATGTTAAAGCTAATGAAAATTGTATCACACAAAATGCATCAGCATCAGCAAAGATCGACAACAATAAACCTGCGTGTTCTAATGCACGCGAAGGACCAGATGAAATGCCTGATCTCAAAGGGAAAGTTGAGTCACGACTACTGTCTATGTGGAATAACGTGAAGTTTGGATGGACAGTGAAATTAAAAACTACTTTTTCTAAGGAATCCCCAGTGTGGCTTCTAGGGCGTTGTTATCATCGAAAATTAAGCCCAACGGGTTCACTAGAATCCTCAACAGAAATTGGCACTGAGGCTACTGCTCATCAGCCTATTGAACAGATATATGGAGAAGGCATTGAAGGATTTAAATCAGACTTTATCAGTAGAATATGGATGACTTACAGAAGAGAATTCCCAACAATGTTAGGTTCATCTTTCACTACTGACTGTGGATGGGGCTGCATGCTGCGTAGTGGACAGATGTTGCTTGCACAAGCTTTAGTATGCCATTTCCTTGGACGTTCATGGAGATGGGTACCTGAAAAAGCTATTCAAAATGCTAGAGAATTTCAAGAGGATTGCTTGCATCGTATGATAATTAAATGGTTTGGTGACAAGTCTTCAGTTAATAGCCCCTTATCCATTCATCAAATGGTAAACTTGGGTGAAGCTTTAGGAAAGAAACCAGGAGATTGGTATGGTCCAGCATCTGTAGCTCACTGCTTGAAAGCAGTCATGGCTGCTGCTTCTAAAGAAAATTATGAGTTTGATAACTTAGAAGTATATGTTGCTCAAGATTCCACTGTGTATGTTCAAGATGTGTATTCAATTTGTAGATTACCTAATGGTGCATGGAAGTCCCTTATAATTTTGGTTCCTGTTAAACTAGGAACTGACAAGTTTAATCCTATTTATGGACCTTGTCTAACCTCACTGTTAACACTAGATTTTTGTATAGGAATCATTGGAGGAAGACCTAAACATTCACTGTACTTTGTGGGTTACCAAGATGATAGACTGATTCACTTAGATCCACATTACTGTCAAGAAATGGTTGATGTCTGGCAACCAAACTTTTCAATGCAATCATTTCATTGCCGGTCACCTAGAAAAATGCCACTTAGTAAAATGGACCCATCATGTTGTATAGGTTTCTATTTAGCAACACAGCATGATTTTGAAACATTTATAAATATTATTACATCATTCTTGGTTCCACAAGGAGTATCTGTAAATTTTGAGTACCCTATATTCAGTATAAATAGTGGATCATCTAACAATGTCATGAACTTTCCTAATATCAGGTACTCTATTTATGAAACAGAGCAAAACTGGGTAACCCCAAATATTCAAGATAGTGACACGGACATTGAATCTGAGGAATTTGTGCTGGTTTAAAATGAAACTCCAGTAGTTGAACTTTACCAAAAAAAGTAGCTTATTTATATAGTGCTTAATATTTATCAGACTTGAATAAATTGTTATTGTTCTATCTGTGTATAAAAGTATGGTTACCAATGTAAAGATGTCATGTTTATTACAGATATAATTAAGGTTCAATGAGAGATATCTTGTAATAGTTACAATTTTATTACATCAAAATGACGAAATAAATTATTAGCATAATAAAAATGCTGAGTTTTGTATATCATTCTGATTTGACATTTCTATGTATAAAATATATGTAGTATTTTATATCATAACTAGATGGACATTTATAAGTTTGGGAATCAAATATTAAGTATTTTCATAGCTAGACTCAGATATAGTTTTCCAACATTTTTATTTACAGTAAGTACACATACCAACACAGCTTGCAGAACATATGGTTTATGATTACATATTATTTTCATGATAATAGATTAACATTATATTACTCATCATGACAGTAACTGCAAACTGACCTTGTGCACATTAGAATTCAATAGATATTTGTACTTCGCTTCCATATTATTAATTCTATATAATCAAGGAAACATGGAGAATAATAAATAATTATTTAAAAGTCAGCAAACTTATGATATAGTAAGTTTATTAGCTTTTTCAAAGAAAAATTAATACTAATTTTTATCCTTAACCGGAGGTGGATGCCGAATAAAGTAATGTAGTGCATTATAAGCAAGGTGGGGTGCCACATTGTACAAAGGATGTATCCTATTAAGTTCATTGCTGGGACGTCCTACAACATATGGATCTCCAGCGCAGGTACCATGCTGTGCAACTGACAATCCACTTAGTGCATAACATGTATGATATATGTCTCTGTGTCTGAAACAAAAAATAAGATACAATTTATAAGGATAGAAACAAGTCCATCATATAAAATAATTAATGATTGAAAGCTTGAAAGATATTTGAGTGTGTAAGAAGTGAATGAGGACTGGCTTGTAATAATACCCTTCCTAATTATGTTACATATATGTATACACTACATTAAAACCCTAAACTATACCAACAATTTAATTAGCCAGTAAAATCTAACCAAAAACCTAATAGAAGACCATTATCATTTATTTACTGTATACAGGTATGACATAATAATTATTACAAAACTTTAATCTGCTTTGTATGGACTATGTACTATATAATGCTCACAAAACATTTCTAATTTTTATAAGTTAAATATCTCCAATATTGACACCTATCTCTTTTCAAAAAGAAATCCACAGTATACACTACCACTCTTTCAGGAAACTGCAAGGAGCAATACTTAAATATTTAATTTAATTACACTTACTTTCCAGGTTTATCAATAAAACCACCACCAGGTATTGCTTGGCAGCAAATAATTACATATTCTTGTAATGCGCCTTGATCAAATAGTACTGCCTCAATTAAGTCTTTATTCTCTTTCTCTGAAAAACAAATTTTTTTGTATGTGTGTAAACAAACTTTATTGCATGTGTGTAAATTTTGGCAATTCTAGTACACTATAGATAATGTCTTGTTGTCATTATGATAGTAATGATTCAAGTATATCTTGGTGAATATCATATCGTTACAAATGAAGAAAATACTCATTATTTTCTGTAAGATGTAGGCCAAACAGAGGTTTCTACTGTAATGTGCTGGTGTACTCCATCAACTCCCCCAAAAGCCAGAGGTTTTTAGGTTGGACGTTGGAGACTTGACAATGCATGGTTATTAATAAATACTTGTAATACATTGGTTATGTTGGCAGTTTTGCCAAAAAAACAAAGTAGATTTTTTACCTTGTGATAGTATGGCACTTATTATTGGAAATGCAGCTCCTTGCCAGAAAGAATAACATCCATCAACTAATTTATTAGTTCTACCTTGAAATCCACCTTCCAATCGCATCTGACGGTTGACACACCATCTTAACAATCCATCTATATCACATAAGTGGGTCTTATTTAAAAGTGCTAATGATGCAATTCCACAGAATGCATATCCTCCATGAGCTTCCATACCAGGACATCCAGCAAAACCCCCTTCATATGTTTGACAGCCTACTATCCATTCAGCTGTTTTATCAAATAAGGCATCTGTGTATGTGTTTGTCATTTTGGCTACGCTTATTGCACAGTAGGCACCCCTAATGTCTTGCTCTCCACCCTTATGAAGGGCAAATGAACCATCTACATCTCTTACAGTCCACAAGAATTTCTGTAAACTACTTCTGTCTAATGAGTTATAGGCATCTTCTGTACCAATAATGCTTAGGGCATTGACGGCTGCGTAAGTGGTTCCAAGATGAGGATATTGATATGGGCCACCACCATACCCACCATCTTCATGCTGACATAAAGACAAAAACTTTACAACATCAGCTAGTGTTTCAGCATCAGGCATATCATTAAGAAGCCATAATGAATGCAAGATCCAATAGACTATCCAAGTTCTGCTGGCATCCAGGGCTTCATAGCTGTTTGGTAAAGTTCTCAGACAATCTTTTAACAATTGAATATGAACCTTTTTCCTAACAACTGGAAACTCTGGTTCAATAGAAGCAGATTTTTCAAATTGTTTATATATTTTTAGGATCATTGTCTCAACATCAACCTGCAACAAAATAAATTTATTCTGAACTTCCTAAGCACATGATGCTATCTGGTTCTAGAGATTAGGTGCAATATTGTTAATGCAACAGCATAATCTACAGCTAGATACATTCTAAATATTTTATTTTTTTGCTATAACAATACAATATATTTGTAAAAGTGATTAATGTAATAAATAAAAAAACTTTATTGATAAATTTAATAACAATTAATTTACCTGCTCAGAAGATGTATCCGTCATTACATTTTCGGAATTGTAAAGTTCAGCACTTATATCCTGAAAACACCTTATCCTGTTCTCCATTTTTATATTTTATCTTTAAAAAATTTCAAGACAATATTATCAGATGTACACTTTAATGCTAAATGTGTTATAAAGAACACCTGTTACAAATACCTGTAACCTGTAGATAATCTATATAAAGATTACTCTTCAACAGCTAGTAAATTCGCAGGTGCCAAGAATGTACGACATAATTTAATACTAAAGTCAATAGTTAAGGTTAAATTTAGATTAGATCCCTTGTTTATAATATTGTGATCTATGACAGTTGCGAGTTTATAATATTTTGTATCACAGATTAGTATAATGTAGCAAGCTAGTTTTGTATTTACACCACTATACACCATAAACTAAAGTACCTATATAACCCTATCATAACCTCAACAGTCAATCTAAAAACAATGAAACAATCGTGTCTATCTTCCATCAAGTATTCTCTTCGCTTGTTAGTTAGTACAGGCAAAAACTACAATGTTAAAGATATAATCGATAATCATCTATGTCGGACAAACATCGATTTGATGGCTGGTTCCCAAAAACATCAATGCGTACAACAACGGAAGATCGATTATAATTTAGTCATGAACGCGATTTATTAATATAATTGGTACAGTATAGGTGCAAAGCCACAAAATTTAGTAAAATTTAACTTTCCCCGAGATTGCCCTGACTGCATTTTGATAATGTTTAAATGTTTATGGATTTTTGGAACGAAGTTCCTTATCGCGCGTTACACACTGAGCCAAAAAATGAGTAACAAGACTTTTCCGGCATTTTGTACCGACCGGGGCTCCATAGACCCCTCACGCCTTTTTTAAAACGAAGATTCTTATCGCTCGTTGCACGCTCTGAGCGGATGGAAGCGATACCGAAAAATGTGTAACAAGACTTTTTACCGACACTTCTTGCTATACGGCTACCAAAAAGCGAAAGGATCTTCATTCCGACCCGGAGTCCATAGACCCATACGCCATTTTTTAAATTGTGTCGATGTTCATATGTTTCGATTATGTCTTCCTTTTCATGTGTTAATAATTTAGATTAAATAAATAAAAAAATCATAAACTCAATTACTCTAATGGTAGTGTTGCCAGACATGGCAGTTCCAAAAACGACGAAGTTCCTTATCGCGCGTTCTGAGCAGAGGGGGGCAAGACCGAAAATGTGTTATAATTTTTTTTCCGACTTCTTGCTACCTTAGATTTTTGCTGGCTTACCTCTTCTAAACAAAGCAACAGATTTTAATGCGAATTTTATCAGTAGAGAGAGTGTAAAAAACATGTTTTTGTGCGCTTATATTGCAAACGCTGGCTAAACTTCACGAGATAGACAAAAATAATTTACTACGGAATTGTATATGTTAAAAAAGTCGACAAAAAGGTCTACGATAGCATATGTCTATCTTCTAAAAGTAACTATTTTTATCTTTTAAATGGTTCCACAAAATAATGGGTTATTTATGAAGCTATTTTAAACAATATATTATTATTCCTTTTCCAATTAAATACGTTAGATATATTGTGCATTTAATTATCTATATCTATACAAATAAATAAAATTGAAGTGTCTGTTTGTAATATTAAAATAACCGCTTTTTACTAAATGCATATGTATGTTTACACGGTACATATGCCAAAATAACATTTTTTACAATTTTTGTCTGTCTGTCTGTCTGTTTGTTCCGGGTAATCTCTGGAACGGCTGGACCGATTTCGACGGGACTTTCACTGGCAGATAGCTGATGACATAAGGAGTAACTTAGGCTACTTTTTTTAGACTAGCTTCGCCCCGGGGCGTTGCCCGCGGTTATAACAACAAACGCGGGTAACACCGCGGTTCTCGGCTAGTTACAAATATATATAGATATAGGATTGTTTGAAGCTAATTATAACACAAATAAGCGTAAAATTAACCAAAACTATTTAAAAATGCCTGTACCTTGTTTAGAGATTGTCAGAGCAAATTAATTGTGTGTACATGGCTCTTGAATACTCTTGAATATTAGTTTATTTGCTACAACAAATCCAAACGCACTGAAATTTACAACTTTTTTTTTTTTTAATAAAAGAATATGTTAGAAGATATTAGAAGTTTAAAATGCGGGGGCAAAGGCCCGCTCCGTTTCTGCTGGGCCGTAAGTTCGTCCCGGGTGGAAACGGCTGACTTATATAATCATATTGCATATAAAGATATCCTGTAGTATAGTCTAATCAACGTCTACTTTTGAACATTATTTCTCATTTTAAGAAGTACCTCCTTAAAACCATACACATGGTTTTGGGTATACATATGAAGAAAATATCAATCTAGCTTCAACTTTATTGTACTAATTGTTTTTTTGTATTATTGCTATACAAAAAAGCTTTTTCAATACAGTAATATATAATAAAGCCTACATTTAAACCAACCAATACAGAATGACCTTTGACCTTAGCAAAAGAAAACCAATTCCAATGTTAAACTTGTAGTCAGTAAAATAGACGCTATAATTTCATTGCCTGTTATTTATTTATTAGCCCTGTACTTCTGCATAAACTTAACACATTGTATCTATCTGTTAATTCAAAGAGGATAGCCGTGAGTTTGTTTGCCCTTTCTTTTCATAAGGCTCAACCCCTTGGAATTGGGCGGTTGACACGTACGTACTACACAGACGTAATAAAATAATTGTTGTAAATTTCAGTGGGTTTGGGTTTGTTGTAGCAAATAAACTAAGATTCGAGAGTACTTTCAAAATAAAAAAATGTGTAATACAATACTTTGAACAGAATAAAGAAAACAATTTAAAAACACATTCATCTCTTTTGCTTTTTATATACTTTTCTATTCTATTTTCGTTTTGACGCTGTCACACATGAGGTTGTAGAAAAGAGGTTCGTCAATTGATCAATTCTCAACATTCCTCCTTGATCAAAAACTCTTCGGTTGAGTGTCTTAGTGAGAATATCTGCAATCTGCTTGCTGCTCTCGACGTGTTGCAATATCACAGTGTTGCCAACGTGTTGCTGGATGTACTTTCGTGGTATTTAAATGTGTTTCTTTCCTCTGGTTGTCTTTCCTTCGTGTGCGTTCTGTAACATGTGAATAGCTGACATGTTATCGACTTTCAGAGTGATCGGCTGATCATTTTCCAAGATACCTAGTTCCAGTGCGATTCTCTTGATCCAGCATACATCGTCAATCACAGACACTGCGGCTCGGTACTCGGCTTCTGCAGCTGAAGTCGCTACCAAACGCTGCTTCTGTGAGTACCAGATCACTGGTCCTCCTCTCATCACCAACACTCCACTCGTCGACTGTCCTGTCTCTGAGTCTCCTCCAAAGTCTGAATCGGTATATGCCACTTGGTCTTTGCCTCCTCCGAAATAGATTCCTGCTGTCGCTGTCCCTCTCAAGTACTGAAACACACGTTTCACCATCGCCTGATGGGTTGCACTGTTCGAGTTTCATTTGTCTCAAGATCTTCTCCGTGTATCGAGGCTGATTCACGAAGATACCATTCTTGTCGATCTTGATTTCTATGCCCAAGTACGTTAACTTGTTCTGTGCTTTCTTGCTGTATGTGATCTGAAATTCCTTGTTTATCTCTCCCAAGAGTCTGTATATTTCTTTTTCATCCTTACCAGCTATCAATCCATCATCCACGAATAGTAAGAGCATAATGCTCCTGTCCTTGTTATAGTAAATACATGGGTCGTAATCAGTGTTGATCAGGCCTATCTTCTTTTCAAAGTGTGTTGTGACCCTCTCGTTCCACATCCTTGGAGCTTGTTTGAGCCCGTAAAGACTCTTATCCAACTTGCAAACTTTTCCTGATCCATCGTCGAACCCTTCAAGCTGGTTCATATAAATAACTTGCTCCAGGTTTCCATACAAGAATGCCGTCTTCACATCGAACGATACCAACTTCATTTTCTCTGACGCTGCATGACTCAAAGTAGTCGAATCGATGCATGGCGGGCTACTGCGCTGAATTTTTCCGCGTAGTCCACTCCTTTCTTCTGTTCAAATCCTTTTGCTACGAGTCTGACTTACTGAGAAAAGATTAAAGTAAAGATTTGGTACGTAGATCAAATCTTCAAGTACCACTGGATACCACTTTTGACCATCAAAAGCCTCCATTCCGATGTTCCCGACTGCAACGCAGTCTGGTTGCGTCTCCAATCACAATTAGAATGGACTCGTCCACTTCATCAAGCTGTACAAACCATTCTCGATGAGACGTCATGTATTGGCTGGCTCCACAGTCTTGATACCATGAAATTGCCCTGTCCTTCGAGATGTCGTTGTCCACTGTCGAGAGTGCTGTGGTCAAAAAAGCCTTCTTGAATGGTATTCCATTTGCTGACTTATTTCCTTCTTCTCTGAATGAACAGTCCTTTGCGAAATGTCCTTTCTGCTTACAATTATTACATGAGTATTTCTTCTTGCAGTACTCGATTTATTTCTGAGATGGCTTTCCTCTGCACTCCTTGATTACGTGACCTTTCTTCTCACATTTGTAACATGCGAGATGTGACTTGTCCTGCTTGCTTGATGACTGTACTTGTTTCACACGTCTTGTCATGAGAGCGTTGCTAGTACTACTCTCTGCGTTTGTCGTCGATTTCTTAAGTTGCTCGTCCTCAAGCCTTAAACGTTCAATGAGGGTATAAGTTCTTTGTAGGTCCGGTCACGTTGTCTCATGATGTTCTGAAATGCGCCAATTTTGGTGGTAAGACACTCAAGATCCTTGTCATGATCCAACTTTCTCTCATAGGATCATTTTCAGTCGACACTTCTTCAGCCAAATTCATAATCTCCATACAATTCTCTACTGCTGACTTGCTTTCATCATATTCATTTCATCATCATTTCATCATACTCAAAGGTAAAGAATTTAATTCGAGACGTTTCTAAAGTTACATCAGTCTTTGTGCCATATAAAGTAACTAATTTGTCCATCATGTCTTTGGCAGTTTTACAGTTTGCAATTTTGTTCGCTATCTTACTGTTTACATTTAAACCTATCAATGTTTGAGCTTCGACATCTTTCTTTATCCAAGCTGAAACCTTTCCTTCTGACACAGCATCTGCTGGTTTGACTTTCACACCTGTCACAATGTCGTACAGGTCTTTATTCTTTAGTGCTAGGTTTAGTTTAAATCGCCATGAAATGAAATTGACATTTCCCTGACTTGACCTTCACTTAGCATCTCCAACTGAGATTTTACAGTATCCATTTTGCTTACAATTTGACTGACTTCTGACAACTTTTAAATAAACAAAATGAATTTACAAACTTTCGTGGCGACTTGCGTGTACGTTACTCAACATTGACTTGCTGTGCGATGACTGCTCATCTTGACTTCTTTTCGATCATTTTCCTGGCCTTGCTTCCAACAAAACCCTTTCACAGCTGCCCTGGGCCCATAACCTGTTGTAAATTTCAGTGCGTTTGGATTTGTTGTAGCAAATAAACTAATATTCAAGAGTGCTTTCAACATAAAAAAATATGTAATGCAATACTTTGAACAGAATAAAGAAAACAATTTAAAAACACATTCATCTCTTTTGCTTTTTACTTTTTTTAACATAAAAAAATGTGTAATACAATACTTTGAACAGAATAAAGAAAACAATAATAAGAATTCAGTTAGTTAGTAAGTTTACAATTTTTCAGGCAATTCGTTGTAAATAAGTGGTGCCATGTACACACAATTTGCTCTGACCATCTCTAAACGAGGTACAGGCATTTTTAAATAGTTTTGGTTAATTTTACGCTTATTTGTGTTATAATTAGCTTCAAACAATCCTATATCTATATATATTTGTAACTAGCTGAGACCCGCGGTGTTACCCGCGTTTGTTGTTATAACCGCGGGCAACGCCGTTGGGCGAAGCTAGTCTAAAAAAAGTAGCCTAAGTTACTCCTTATGTCATCAGCTATCTGCCAGTGAAAGTCCCGTCGAAATCGGTTCAGCCGTTCCAGAGATTACCCGGAACAAACAGACAGACAGACAAAAATTGTAAAAAATGTTATTTTGCCATATGTACCGTGTAAACATACATATGCATTTAGTAAAAAGCGGTTATTTTAATATTACAAACAGACACTCCAATTTTATTTATTTGTATAAATAGATATATGGAGAAGAAATAGTAGAGGAGATTTTGAAAATATAAGTTTTTTTTTGTATTTTGTAAAAACAAACTCAGCACCCGATATATATTAGGGGGGGGGGAGGGAGTGCTTATGTAGTTAACAAACATATATGAAACGGCAATAAAGAACACCCAGACCCAGAACAACAATTTGTAGGTCACACAAAGTGTTGTCCCATATGGAGATCAAACCCACAACACTTACCGCACTGTCAGGTAGCTTTCTACATTATAGTTATCTGTGCAGTCAGCGCAGTAGAAAGCGGCGAGGTGACGGAAAGAAATATCCGCCATTAATTTACGTCCCCGTTTCAAACATTGTATTTTGAATTGGCTAGGGATAGGCATTAAAAAAAAAAAATATATATATCGTATCTTTTTTTTTTGTATCAATATAATCTATATTGAGAAAAAATATTCATTAATAGATAATCGAATCGAAATAGAAATATTGATATTTTATCCACTGGGTAACATATCAAGATTTATATGTTGTATGAAAATATTGTAATGTTTGTGCAGTTTTATTTCACATCAACTCGCTCTTGGCGATGAGCGCACTGGTTCGTCGTTGCGATTGGTATTCACTGCAGGCACAGCGGGGAGCTAGGCCCTCTGCAGTGCAGCTCTCTAAGGACGCGCCGTATGTATGCATGGTCGCTTACTTAGAGAATTAGCCCGCTGGGCCTGCAGTGAACTCTTTACCAATCGCAACGACGAACGCGAACAAAACTTACCTCCATACTATGCTATTGTGTACATGTGTATATTATGATATATATTGATTATTTTCTAAAAATATAAATGTTTGAGTTTTGTTTTTACATTGAGTAAAAATATCGAAAACATAATATTCAGCAAAGTTAAGAATTGAGTAACATCGACATCGATTGTTGGGATCATTAATCGATCGGAGTTTTAAGTTTTCTTTTGCTAAATGTCAAATGTCAAACTGTATTGGTTGGTTTAAACGTAGGCTTTATTATGTATTATTGTATTGTAAAAGTTTTATCGTATAGCAATAATACAAAAAACAATTAGTACAAAAGAGTTGAATCTAGATTGAAATTTTCTTCATATGTATACCCAAAACCGTGTGTATGGTACTTATTAAAATGAAAAATTATGTTCAAAAGTAGAGGTGTTTTCTCCAGAACAAGCAATATTTCTCGAGCTAAAGTGTTTAATAAAGTTTAATTTGACTCATTCTCTGGTCTTTTTCCATATAAAAATGAGCGAAATACAAAATGTCATGAAGATAGAAGAATACAACGCTATTGTAGAAGACTTTAATAAACTTCCTTCGTTTAGTCGTAAATGTGAAAATGAACTAAAGAAAAAATATGCACAGTTGGTATTTAGTACCTAGTCGTTTATATAATTATTTCTTAAACGTGAATCATTTGAAAATAACCTATTTCATTTATTATTTTGATTTCAGTTTGTCACCATTTACACTTGGCAGTATTATATCATTACTTGTGCAAAGGTCCATGAAACATAGTTACAGAAAATCTCCATTAATCTCAAGTAAATATCATGAATTCTATGAAGGTCTCATGAAAGAAAAAAAGAATGACAATGTTATTATACAGTAAGTCTAGCTACATGTTATATTTCTTAATAAATCAACAAATTGGTCATTTGTAAAGTTTCTTTTAAATTGGCTTTGTTTGTATGTGGGCTAATTTAAGTGTATATGAATACCACTTCATAGAGGTTTTTGTAAACAATTTCTAATTGAATACTCCTATAATTCTTCTATAAATGTACTTTACTAGACTTGTAAACAAGAGAACCATATAGTAGTCACTTATGATGTCTAATATATCACACCATCACTATTCCCTGCCTTCCTGTTCAGTCCCTTGTTATGAGATTGCACTGATTGTCAGAAAGGGAGAAAAGAGGTATTACACATCAACAAGTATGACAGTATTTATGGGAACTCAGATAATAGCAAAGTAACTAAATTTATTTTATAGTCCATTTATTACAGTGTTTATAAGTAAGGAGTAAATAGATTGGATAAAACATATTTTATTTATCTTAATAAAGATGTGTCATATATTGTTTTCAGACTATCTGACTGTCAAGGTATTAGTCCAGCTTTGTTTGCAAGATCTTTGCTACAAGGTGTATACTCTGATTCAACAGTTGCAAAAAAATATATCAAAGACACAACATTAATTGAAGACAAAGATTTGGCATATCAAGTATTTCTGGTAAGTACAAAATAGATAGTTCATGTTTGTGGGACAAAGATTTATTTCAAGGATATTTCCCCACCCCAACAGTCTAATTAAAAATGTGAATTTGTATGTATACACCTAAGAAGATAAAACCTAAATGCAATTTTATAATAAAATTTCCAGAAAAGTGTATTTTTGTTTTCTTAATTTGTGTGCTAAACTTTGTATTTTATTAGAAATTCTACTGACTATAGCCCTATAAATAATCAATGTAATTCATATTTGTTTTAAATGGCACATTTCACTCCATGTTGTTATATTATGAATTTTATCCACAATAAAATTCATAATATAACAACACTGGGCGAAAGTGTTTAACACCTACTTTCCCTTAGTACTTTACAAAATTAGTTCATAATTTTAATACTTAAGTATTAATTTTTCAGGGTATCATGAATGATAATCAGTATGGTCCCTATGCAGATATAATAAAGCAGTAAGTTTTTACCTTATAATGAGAATGAAATAGTCAAATAAAAGCTTTTATAACTAAATTATTAGGTGCCTATACAATTTTTCAAGGCCATAACACTAGTTTCTATGTATTTACAAGAAAAATATAAAAGAATAGACCATTTTTGATGAATAACATGCAAGGTTTATTATAAAAATTTATTAAAAATACAGGATTGGACTACCTGGGGCTTTTTTTTGCTCAAATTGTAGCTTTCCGAGCTGATCCAGTAGGAGCTCTACCTTAAGAATGCAATTAGACATGTTGTCATAAATTGTGACATCTGCGTCTGTTTTTAACCGTAAGTGATTAAATAATATAATATTTTTGTTTATTTCAGATCGATAGGTCTAGAATATGAGTTACGGTTAGAGAGAGAGCTCCGATTAATGAACATTACATTTTCGGACGAAAATGTTCTTAGATCACGAGGATATGACAAAACACCTGATTTTAAATTAGATGTTCCCATCGCAATAGATGGGTTTATTGTGAATTGGGTCGAAAGTAAAGCTCTGTTTGGAGATGAAGAGAATCACTCTGGATATCTAAAAGAACAACTGCTATGCTATTGGAACAGATTTGGACCCGGCTTGGTCATTTACTGGTTTGGATATTTAGAAACTTTAAATTCTACTCCAGAAGTGAATAGTATGTTTATACTAAGAACTAGTTTTCCAGATAAAGCAAGTATTACTCAATACAAACTGGATGTATAGAGAAGCATTTAAATGGGTAAAACATAAATTTAAGTAAAAAAGTTTTATCACACACAGAATTATGTCTTCTTGCTAAATGGATAAGCTAAGATTTTAGTGCCATGTTCCTTTCAATTGAAATATAGATATATTTTGACAGTATCAATGTAACTCAATAAATTTTAAGATTTTTCGGTTTATTTAAATAACTTGTTTTTATTGGAACCTCCCTTCCGATATTGTGTTAAACACATGTATGGATGTAAATGTATGGATTTTAAGACTAATTCCCTGTGGTTCAAGTGCCATAGAGATTGAGTCAATAGTTGATATCACTATAAATGTGATTTTGGAAAATCAGTCTTGGTATAATATAAAATATGGGGCGGATGGCATACAGTTAAATTAACTCGACCAGATTCGGATTCAACATCTAAAACCACTAACGAAAAGGGGCCCTACCCTAATAGTCGCAAAATTTACCACTAAACATTTTATTTATTACGAAAGAAAACTAAATTATGCTTATAATATAATAATAATTAGTTTGCTTTATTATTACGCAATACTAATTCTTACAATCAATAAATCAACAAGTCAAGATCATCAGACAAATAAAAAATGTTACAATAACAGCAATTACTTATTTTGAATTAATTCGCGTTGTTCGTCGTCGTCGGTTTGAGATTGATACGATTCTTTGGTATCCATTTCCTTCCAACCTCCCTTATAGTTTGAGCCATAGCGATTCTTAAAATAGCAGATAAATAGCGGTATACGACCTTCAAGAAAAGAGCGTACTCCTTCCTAAAAGGCCGGCAACGCGTTTGTGACTCCTGAGTTGCAGACGTTCATGGGCGACGATAGTCACTTTCCATCAGGTGACCCGTCTGCTCGTCTGCCCCATGTTAGAGACATAGAAAAAAACGATTTAAGTTTATTTTATTCCTTTGCTTGTTTTTTATTACATTCATTCTCCTAAATAGTGTCTCGACATCGGCATTGGAATGATTCAGTATTAAGAGAGTAATAGCAAAATTTGAAGTGGTGAATTTGGCATCTTTGAAGTGCCGTACTTTCAGTATGTATAGGGCTGCCAGGACATCTTGATTAAAATATATTTTAAGCCTCTTCTGTTGCATGAAATAGTGTCTTTAATCGTTCTTGTGACGACACGTGAGTAATTTTGCTTTATTTTTAAAGCTTCTTAGGTATTAAATAAAAGGTACAAACCCAATATTAGTTACGCAGTTAATAAAATTAAATGAAAAGTTGTTTACCTTTTTATTTTTCCATACAATTAACAATATTTACTTTAGTTTTAAAAGAACTTAAATCTTAAATCAAATTCAGAAAGTTATAATAACTTTTACTAAGGAACAATTTTAACAGCCTCACATGGTTATTTCTTTTTATTACAAAAATTTGTTTTTTTTTCATTCATAGATCTGTTTAACTAAATTTAATCAATTTTAAAACAAATAAAACTATAAATAAAATAGCGTCGGCAGCGCTTGCCGTGAAATACCTAACCCATAGCTTTTATTTACATAAATTATGGGCACAGGATCTGATCAAAAACCCATACTTTTAATGTAATCCGGGTTGCACCCGGACGCTCCCCGGACGTCTTCCAAACTAGGACAAATCCGGGGAAACCCGGAATTGAATTCCTTAACACGTTCGGCATTGGTAGACAACAACACACAGAGTTACGAACGACTATTGGTTTGAACGATATCAATCTTTATTTCTCTTCTTCCCATCTCCTTAATCAAAAATCTACATCAACCCATTGCCTAAAATTTATAATCCTTCTCTTCTTAAACATTTCCATCCAATCTCTATCTTCCCTTTTCCTCCCTCCAAACGTTTTTAAGGTTTGCGTACCCAAATAGTTCTCTCAGTCCGTCTTTCAACATCATCTCCTAAGCTCTCTACAATCTTACAATTGCTAATCACATCACACATCATCACATCACCAGCATTTAATAATCTAGTGCCGTACGTAGGCCTCACCTGAGGAAGGAGGTTTTGGCCTACTATACCACGCTGGCCAAACGGGTTGGTATAGATAGGGTTTGTGTCAAGTTTTCTTTCTCTTTGCAGTGCTGTAGTCCTGTGTAGTTTGCTCTTCTAGTGGGCTCTTACGATACTCACGGGATAAATAGTTTAATAGTAGGTGATGACATTCCGTATTCTCAATCCGTAACCACACGAATGTTACAAAAAAAACCACTAGCCACTGAAAAGTAATAGTTCACCACTAAAAAGAGGGTCGAAACCACCAGTTTCAGTGGAGAATTCACTAGGTTGGCATCATGCTCTGTAGCGATTAATACGGACTAAAGTACGCTGTGCCCGTTGCTACGCCTAGTCGCGTTAGTTTAGCTTCTCTTTGCAGTGCTGTTGTCCTGCGTAGTTTGCTCGATGAGCCGACTAAGGGCTCTTACGATACCCACGGGATGAATAAGGGTAGTGACACTCTGTACTCTTAATTCCACTTTATTATATAGTAATGTAAGTTAAAAATGTGTATGTGTGTTATGGTATCTTCTAAAAGAATAAATCGATTTAGATAAAGTATTTTTTCTTTGAAAGGTAACTTGGTCCAGAGTATTTTTAGCTGTGATTCAAGATAACTTTTTCAGCTATAAGATGCTCCAGATGAGGATCTACACATCTAAAATGGTCTGTTTCTAAAACTAGGATCCTACACTTGCTTTTTTTTTATTAGGTACCTACTGATAGTTTAAAATCTATCTTAATCACTTTCTCTTTAATCTTAATTGTTTATGAAACAAAGAGTTAGGTAGAGCTAAGTTACCAAACCAACTCATGGTTTAGTGTGATACATTTTATCCTTTTGAGCGATATATTCTTTAGAGCCTTTAGGAGCTACACAACAGGAGGATAACCCTGAGGCGAGAGCGTCGGTACTGAGGTACGTCGGCGTATCAGGGCTTTTCTTTCTAGGGTATACCTGGTTCCTGGTACTGGTACCTGTAGACGGCGTGCGGTTTTCGGTCGGTTCGAGTCTGACACAATCATCCAGTGGTGAGTGGTATCCGAGGGGAGTTGCGCACAGAGAAAAATAAGGAGTTACACTGCAGGTCAGATGAAATTAGTATCATTTCTGTCAAGAAAAATCAGTATTGTTTTATTAAATGTCAAAACGAGAGACGCAGTACATTTTTGTATGAAACACAGGAGTGTCATACCTTTGGTCAAATCACTTTCTTTGTAATGTTGATTTGATGAACTAATATAAAAATTAAATTGAAAATGGAAAAATATGTGTGCTGTATTTTTCAGTGTTGCATTTAATATGAAATTGAATTGAATTCATTTGAAATAATTAATTTTACAAATTGGATTCATCTTCCTTCTCTAGTAGTCATGTTTTAATCTGTGCCATCTATTAGGTCATAATATTTTACCTATGTACTATGTGATCTGCATCTGACGTGATGTATTAACTATTAGACTTGAATACCTGAAACCACTCTTCCGATATTTGGTCTGACAGAGCATTTAATTTCTATAAACAATGGTTGTGGGGGCATTTCCTATTGCAAAATTAGCTGCTTTATTAATACGACAGGTTAGCAAGCCCATAGCTAATGCTGCGAAGGAACGAGCCAAAAGTCATCCCTTTTTTAGAACCTACGTTTGTATGCCTCCAGCTCAGTGTGAGTAATAATTCTATTACATAAATGAAATTTAACTACATATTTACAATTAGAGCAATTTCTCTTTGAGAAATCATTCGTACTACAAAATATTTTAATTTATATCCTTCTTTACAGTTTATAACTGGTGCGAAGTAAAGGCAAAAATGTGGATTTTAAACTTGGGTAAACCTGTAAATATTCCAGTACTTAGTCAGGAAATGGCTATTGATCTTGGTGCAAATTTACTGGGAGAAACATTGATTTTCACTGTAGCTGCTACTATATTGTTGTTTGAGTACAACAGGTAACTTAGTTGCTAATAAGCATATTTGTAACATTGTTAGTAAGTGGCCATCTTCTTTCTAACTGTATATTTTTCGAACAAATAATAAAAAGAAAACTGGTTACAGGCATCATTAGTTATATATGACTGCTTGCTTGATAGCAAAATAATAAGTAACTAAAATATATTTATTTTAGGCAGGCTAAAAAAGAAAATGCCAAGGAAACCAAGAGAGAAAATGAAATGAATCATATTATGACAACCATCACTGATCTTTACTTCACTGTTCAACAGCAACAAACACAGTTGAAGGAAATGGAAAGAATAATCTATTCAATAAGTAAGTTAAAGTGGTGACTGTCTTAGGCTTTATTAGTTTTCTAATAATTATTTATAAATATTTAATTTTAGGTGGCCGGAAACCAACAGTTCCTCCCCCCACAATTAAGGAGCCATCTTTACCAAAACCCATGTCACCACCACCAAAACCACCCACTGTCTGTGATCCCAAGATATCTGATATGACATATGACAGGCATGACAATATCATTGTTACCTCAACACCATATCCAAATAATGGTGTAATTTTACAATCACTCAACTATATACAGATGGATGCGTTTAGTTCGCTATTTCCTTACAATAACAGTGGGGATCTAAGTAAGGAAGAACCAATATCTGATGAAAAGCAACAAACACACATGCGGGAGTCTGCTATTTTAACTTCAGCACTGGTCAACATAGAAAATAACTTCAGAAGTTTATTTTGAAATCTGTGATAACTGTATATATTGTTTAATTTTTAGAAGTGAAATGTAATTTTGAATCTTTTTATAACTATCAACTATATTGCTTGAAACCATGCAGTAGTTATTGCAGTTATTTTTATAGCTTTAAATTCAGTGGACACAAAAGGATATTGTAAGATAGTTTCATCTAACAACAGGTTAAGTTATGTATGATGCTAAAAATAACGGTGTTGAGTATTACTTTTAGTATGTCTCTGAACATTTCTTTGCTTGCAATGCAAGCATTTAACTTTGGAGCACTAAAACAAATGGTTTTGTATGTAGAAGTATTCCAGGACTTCAATTTTGTTGAGCCATGTTTTACTTTGTCTGTGTTAGTCTAAATCATGTTTATATAGTGTTTTTTCGAAATGTTTAGTAGAATTAAGAGTTTCAGCTGTTAAAAAATATAGGCTTTCAAAAAATAAGTGAACAAAGAGTATTATTTTAAGTATTTTATTACTCAAGCCATTCAGTCATATATGTGCACTCTTGTGGTGTTATCAGTCCTGTGGTAGAACATTTGTGTACAAGAGGGCAGACTCCACATGGCACTTGAACAAGTCCTGGTGCTGGTATGAGAGGGTCTATAGACCGATATACTTTGCTTCCGTCTGGGTACACACTACTTTCAGCTTTACCATCATAAACCAAAGTATTTAATATTGTGATTACATCTTCGACATCCAGTTGTACCTGAAAATAAATGAAGAGAAATTATGAGAATTGTAAAATAGTAAAGTATTCTAAGACCAGCAGATTACTGATTCAATATTCGGTTACAATATAATATAATCGCATTACAGTGAATGTTGGATGTTTAATACTTTACTATGAAAATACCTTTTATGATAGTTGTGAAATCAAAAGTTGATCCGAACCAAATTGAGATGGAACTTTTATTACGAGACTTTGCCTTCACATTCTTATACACTGAGAGCAGTTGAAGGTATAAGACATACATTTATTGACGCGCCTGTTGGTCTAGTGGTTAGTGACACCGACTGCTAAGCCAGGTCATGGGTTTGATTCCCACCCAGGACAAATATTGTGTAATGAGCACAGTCATTTGTTCTGTGTCTGGGTGTAATTTATCTATATGTATGTATTTAAAAATATATAAGTGTGTTTATCAGCAGTCTGGTTACCATAGCACAGGCTCTGCCTAATTTGGGATCAGATGGCCGTGTGTGAGATGAGCGAGATATTATATTATATTATTAATTATGTCCCAAATTTTAAAGATGCATGGGAACTAACAGGCATTATCTAGCATATTGATTGATTTAAGAAATTGATAATATAAAGGAGTTGGTAAGCTTCTGGATCTTACTAGATGTAATTCAATTTGTATAATTAGAATATGAAAAATTGGAGCAGAATTAAAAACTAGCATCTTGTATGACATGTAGTCTGAATTGACATATTTAACAAAGAACATGTTATTTCTTGCTATTAATGTTGAGATAAGAATGTAAAGTAGTGTGGGTAAATGGTGGAAAAGTAAATATACTAGCTAGCCTTTAGATATAGTAATAAAGAAATGAAAAAAATTAAAGACCTACCTTACTTATTCCGAGATCTGTAATGTATTTCTGGACTTCAGATGCAGTGGCATAAGATTGTGTTCTGCCAACAATTGGTCCTCGTGGGTTGTTTTTAATCTTATCTGATCGTTGATTCAAAAACCTTAAGCATTGCACATTTAATATATCTACAAATTCAGATTCAAAATCTTGATCTTGATACCATGCTCCTCCAGAGATAGATCTGTCGGGTTCTAAATTGTAGAGCATGTATACTTTTTTCTTAGAAGCCTGAAAATGTAATCTATTTAAAAGCTTGGTGACTAGTAATTCGCTAATTACTTTGATAATTATAACACTAACAATTTAATCCAAGTGTGCAATTTAAGTGAATAAATAAATTTAGTACCATTATTTATTTATTCACTTAATTTGCACACTTATGGATTGTGTGCAAATTAAGTGTGTGTTGTGTCCATTCGATAGCGTATTTGAGACACTTGTACTTACAAATATTATGTGTTACAAGAAAACCTTTGTATACTAACATTAACACATTTGACAGCTTTAATGAGTTTCTTGCTCTCAAGACTTTTTAAGACTTTAGTTAGCTGTGTATTAGCTAAATTTGATCTTATTCTGATTTCACGAATCCATATCCCTTTATTTCCAGCTTCCTCTATTAGATTAAATACAACTTTTTCTTCATTATCTGCACCCTTGACTGCTTGTTTGTTTACTTGAGTTTTTAACCTAAATAAAAAAAGCATGGTTATTCTTAACATGAAAAAAACCAATCATACCATATATGCTTCATGCTACAATTGATATGTAAGGAAATTATATTAATTAGAATAAGAGGTTTTGAGTATATATTTATGAAATATAGTAGGTATATTTATGAAAGATAAATTTACGTAGTTTCAACCCAACATTTATGAATTAGAAAATAATAAGAGAATCTAAAGAATACCTGTATAACAGAGCCCCATTTTGATTAAATAAATCAAAATATTCTTGCTGTAATAGTTCGTTAATAGCGGTAACCAACTCAGCAGATGAAATATCAGGTATAGCCGCTGTGATATCTTTATGCGATATTCCTTTTGGATTTTTTCTGGCTACATTCAATATTTTCTCTTTAAGTTGATCTTCCTGTTTAACGCTCATTTTCGTTATTGTTCTTTATACTGAAAATATTACAAACATACATGGACCTACATAGTAATAAATACAGTAGGTAGTTGAGTAAATATTTTGCCTAAACATTTACATTTACTTCATGTAAATTAGTTGTTTATGAGTTAAGCAAAACAAGTAAACATTAACAACATAAGTTTATACTCTATCAGTCTATCTCACGTGTGAGTGATGCACCATAAATAAAACACTATAAATCTAAGAATCTAAGATAATGCACTGACTGATTGCTTATGTCAAAGAACTAGACATAGGACAAAATCACAGTAATCTATGATTTATCATTTGATTTTTACGTACGTAGGTTAGGGTTGCTAGGTAGGTAGGTTAGACGCTTTTCAACAGTGAATCTAGTAATTTTTAAATTATTATGTAGGGAATGGTAGTTATATATAATTAAAAAAAATACTAGATTTACTGTTAAATAGGCGAAATAGGGTCTTTATGCATCGTTTGAAAAGAGCTCATTGGCAACAATGCGTGAGTAAGTAGTAACCCTAACGAAAGTAAGGAAAAATCTAATGATAAATTACCGGTCTTTCACTGTGATTTTGTCCCATGCCTACAAAGTACAACAACCTCAGCTGATGTCAAAACAATATCAAATGTCAAGTTTTTTTGGGATTTTTATAACATGGTAACTTGGACTTTTAAAGTTAATTTATTGTATATTGCTTGCTAATGGTATTCGAGTTTTTATTTAAGTATAAACAGTACGTTAGCAATATGATTTATTCTTTAGGAAAAACTAATCGCGCTGACCACAAATAAAATTAGGAAAAGAGTGAGAAGATGATGATGGTGGTGAGCAGATTAGTCATAGAGATATAAGAATAAAGAGAACACGGGAAGAGCTGCCTGTAAGTAGAAGCAAAACAGGCAACAAGAGAGATGGATGCCCGATTGTTCCCTCTGTCTCTTTAGCAGAGCTGCGATTGGTTTTCGTAAAGTAGGTATGGTTTTGATAGTAAAACAGGCGGGAGGTTAGAAATTTCCTAAAAAATTGGATGTAAATAATTCAAACACAAGGTATACAAAACGCATAGTTCAAAAACTTGAGGTAAACATTTAAAATGTGTAAATGTTTAAATGCAATTTGATAAAATTTGTATATAAAAAATCGATTTAAAATTGGAACATCAAGGTAACTGTATTTTATAGTATAAAATATAAAGCATTATCTATAAATAAACGTTTCATCTTTTTAATCATTTAAAATTAAATAAATAAATGTTAAGTAAACCAAAAAAGGAAATGAGACACAGTGTATTGAAAATATAATATTATTAGTCTGACAAAGTTATTTTACATATACGACTATCATATAACATTATTGAATTACATACACTTGTAGATTAATTGGAATAAAATATATATACATATTCCCTTGGAGTTACGTAGAGATGTGGCTTCACTCTGCATTCTCTATCGCATATATCATGGAGAGTGCTCCGAGGAATTGTTCGGACTAATAACAGCCGCAAATTTCCGCCATCGTTCCACAAGGCAAAATTTCAACCAGTCTGTGAAACGGGTTATCGTCTGCGGTATTTCAGGACCGATACGACCTTCAAGAAAACAGCGCACTCCTTCCTAAAAGATGAGTTACAGACGTTCATGGGCGGCGATAGTCACTTTTCATCAGGGGACCCGTCTGCTCGTCTGCCCCCTCTAACATAAGAAAAAAAAAGGTGAAAATGATCGATGTCAGAATTAAACTTACGTGTGAAAACTATGTTTGTTTAGAGGAGCGTAGCCACTTTCCATTTAAAAAAATGCTTATTTTTTTGAATTTACAGTTTTTCATTCAAAAGAGTTACAATTTGGGCAAATAAAAACTCAATATTCCCTATTAACTCCTCATATTCCTCAGCCAACCACAAAGCTCGACTAGTATTATCCACCGCACTCGTTGCCTAGAAAGATTAGGACTCTTGTTCACTCTATGCTTATTTCAATATGACATTAGTACTGTCTTGTTAAGTTTGTTTCTCTTCGGTTAAAGAGCCATCACTTTTCATGGCGAGAGCCAAAATCCGAGATTTTTGGTTTCTGGACGAGAAAAAGTTCTAAGTCCTGTCAGTCCTGATGATGTCAGTTTGACGTTGACGTTTTTTACTACTCTACTCTATGGTGTTTGTGTATTGTATTTGTTTGTTGTTGATTTCAGCGTTTTGGCTTTGCGATTGATAGTAAAAGAAAACAAAATTCACTTCAAAAATGAGAAAATCATATATTAAAGTTACGATTTTGCTAATATTAAGTAGTTTAACAATTGTATATTTATATTCCAAAGTTAGTCATAACACGAAATATGGCCAAAATACGCTGCCGAACGAATTCAGGTAAGATAATGTTCTAATAAATGTTTTGAAAAAGGTCATTAAGAAGATTACTAAAACTAGTAATATAACATATTTTACAGGGTTCTTAGTAAAGAGACGGAGAAAACTATTCTATCGTTTGTAGTTTGTGATTCGAGATTCAATGAGTCTCTAAATGTAGTGAAGTCTGCTCTACTCTTTACTCGAGCTCCTATACACTTTGTGATATTTGCGGATGATAGCTTGAGACCACGATTCAATGAAACTTTAACAAGAATGAGACGTTTAACTAATAACCAATTAGATTTCGAATTACACAAAGTAAGCTTTCCTGAAGAACATGCTGCGGATTGGATGAATTTATTTAGCAAATGTGCAGCTCAGAGATTATTCATACCTGTAAGTTTTCTATTTTATGACCTGGTTATTAAGACCCACAGTAAAACCTCACCAAAGAGTAATATCTATATATAACATACGCTATACATCCAAATAATTCTATATGATTGTACTAGAATATTGAATGTATGTTTCATAATAAAATAATTAAGAAGTTAATGTCTATTGCTAAATTAAACACATTTAAATACTTTAATTTTTCAGAAACTACTACCTCATATAGATGCAATGATATATGTGGATACAGACACATTATTTCTAGGTCCTGTGGAAAAACTGTGGAATTTTTTCTCACATTTTAATAATTCACAAATATCTGCAATGGCATTAGAGGATGATAATCCCAATGTATCTTGGTATCCCAGATTTGCGAAACATCCATTTTATGGAAAATATGGTTAGTAAATTAGAGATTATCTATCCCTTTGCGTCAAGATTTAATATAAATTATTTTGACTTTATTGTTATCGATATCTCCAATATGGATTAGTTTAAGTTGCTATACATATTGTCTAAACTCAGCTTACTCTAGCAATATTTGGGACATTTTTGGTTCATACTAGAAATAAAGTAACAAAAGTGCGCGCATATTATAAACCAATGGTGATTGATATGGTGCAATCTAATGCTTACTGTAGTGATTAACCAAAACGGACTCCCTACAAATAAATAATATGGACCAGATAAGATTTCGTGTAAGTACATAAAACATAAGATAATGCAATCTCTTTTCTTAACTTTTTTGAGTCATTGAATTAGACACGTACGATCTCTGTTCCTTGTTATTACATTGTTTATTTTTATATTATGCTCACTAAGTGGACTGTAACGTTCTTGAGTATAATAAAGTTCTTTAAACCTAATATTATACTATTAATAGTATTGTAAAAATGTGCATGTTTCTTACACCTAAAGCAACATTGTTTATTACAAATTGCTGAGTGGGTGAGAATATACGTCTCTGTTTCTTCTGCTGTGTTTTTGACAGTATACAATATAACCTATTTGCAAGTTAACAGTATTGTGTATATTTGTAATAAATAAAAATAATTACTTGACACATCTCACACATGGCCTTAAGCCAAACTAGACTGTACCTGTATTATGGTAACGAAATTACTGATACACATTCTTATATATATTTCTGAATACAATTGGTGGTGGCTGGTTAGCTAAATTCACTGCTTGGTAATAGGATTTTGAAAATATTAAAATGACATTAATTACATTTATAGACTGTTAACTATCAAAATAATAAGCAGTGAAATTAATATTAATATTAATTATGAGGAATTAATATTAATTTCTCATAATATATGCTATTATAATATTGATGTTAAATTAATTGATGTTAAGTTGATATATATTTCAGGTTTAAATTCTGGTGTGATGCTCATGAACTTGACAAGAATGCGAACATTTGGCTGGGTAGAATATGTCACTCCTATAATGTTAAAATGGAAATTGTACATTCCATGGGGTGATCAGGTATGATTTAAAGCATACAAAGTATCTAACTTAGTATAAGCTAATTTACTAACAATTATAACTTTTAAAGAAGGTTTGAATAGATTGCTATAAACTGTAGCCTTTTAATATCACACCTTTAGATGTGTAATACTTTATCTAATACTGAAATGGGGCCAACTTTGAGTAGAGCCAATTTATTTAAATAAAATTGTGAAATCTGTTTCAATGAAACAAAGAAATGTCAAAATAAATACAAAAAAAATATGGAAATAACAACTGCATTCCTTTCCCTAAAGTTTCTCAAAAACTACACTAAAAATAAATATATTTAATATTAAATAATAATATAGTATATAGTGTTTATTACAGTTTGATTTTGTAAAGCTTGGATTTTTGCATGTCCAATTGCACACTTGAATTTACAAATAATACAAACAATCATAACTACAATAATGTTAAGACGACATAGCTTATAGCATTTTTTTTGAAAGTTATTTAAAAGCTTTTTATCTTAGAGATAAACCCATACACCAAATCGTTGAAGAAGCATATCAGTACTTTTTAACTGAATTAAAAAAAAGAGGATGTTCTACTTTTTTAAATTATGAACGATTTGGCAAACTCCTTTTACAAATTGTTCATGAAATGGAAGGATTGCCAGTTTACAATTAAAAGGAGTTTCTCAAATTTTTCATGATTAATAGAGTTCTGGGGAAGCATGGGGTATCCACTCCATACTTACAGTTTTGGTTTCATTCCAATAGAAAGAAATAAAACGACATTGTTGGCTGAAAGTTAGGGAAAAAAGAATAGAAAAAAGAACAGTTTATTACAAAGTACAGTGATATATGGCATTGAAGTTCTTCTTCATTAAAGAAACTGATAGATTTTTACATGAACATAACTGACAACCATTTTGGTAAGAGGTCAAGAGCATATCAGTTTGAATATCACTGATGTTTATAAGTTATTTACTTATAAGAATACAATTGTTAACTTACATGAGAAAAATTCACACGGTAAGAAAAAACTGTAAAAAAATTGCAAACAAAAATACCAAGTACCTACTTTTTTCAAAAGCAATTAAATGAACATGTGGGTAGGTATTACAAAATTAAATTGTTAGTGATTTTTCAATTTATTACTGAACTGACAGATGAAAGTGGATCAATTTGTTTTGATACTGGTATATCAAAAATTATAAATTAAAGTTTGTTTAACATTTGGATTTATGGTTGACCATCATTTGTATTAAAAAAAACTAATAGTAGCCCTAATGTTATAAGAATAGTGTTCTTGTATTTACTTACAATTATCCTCCTTATACGGGTTTAGTCTGATTTTTCTTTTCACGTAATGATACCAGAGGCGCCGTCCTGTCGTTTTCATACAAAATTCTTTTCAAACTTAGAGAGCTCATGTTACTTTTATTTGTTTTCAGGATATAATTAACATAATATTTCATTATCACGAGCGCGCAGTATTTGTGCTGTCGTGTCGGTATAACTACCGCTCAGACCAGTGCATGTACGGAGACGCGTGCAACGATGCTACTTCGCGCGGTATTTTCTTGTTACATGGCAGTCGCAAGGCATTCCATAATGATAAACAGCCGGCTTTCCAGGTACTACACTTCTATTATACTTCATATTATCTCTATAAATAAGCATATATAAGCAGCAGCAGTAAGTATAATTGATGGCGTAATTCAATATCAGAATATTTTGTTAGAGGTACATTATTTCTATCATTTAGTTGGTATTTACTACCTAGACTGTTACCTTCGGTAGTATTTTTTATTGCACACTGTAAGTAGGGAATGCAAACTCGTTCTCGCGAGATCGCGGCCTTTTTTAGCGAGATTGATCTCGGACGAAAAAAGGGCGAGATCTCGCGAGTTTAACGAGATTGCACTCGAGCATAAAAACGTCTTATTCGAAGCGCGGACTGACACGGACGGAGTTGCGATCTGTCGGTTTCGTTCGGTGCGCGGGAGGCGGTGGCCTGAGTTAGCGGTCGTGGGACGAGGTGTCTCTCAGTAAAATTTGACACGAAATAAAATTTTATTCCTAAAAGATAAAGACTTGTTTGATATTAGAAGAGAAGAGTGGTTGTTTCTTTCATTTGTTGATAGATACGTACGTCAAAGTTTACTACTTAGAAGTTTATTAAAAAATTATAGACAGATACGAACAATGTTTGATGCACAAAATTCTATTAAAAAATCTTGAAATTAAATGATTATCTTATAATACCTTTGCCTGAGCCCCAATCTCGCGAGATTTTCATTCCCTAACTGTAAGCAACAACTTAATAGCTTCATCGGTGTAGAAGCTATATATACTGGATGATGGCAAGCACTGTGTAGAAAACTGTACCTTATAGTGGTACCACCACCCATTAATGTTCTGGCGCTATATTGAAATCTCCATACAATTTGATGATTCAATTTTTTTTGAAACTTTAAACCATGTCTTGTTTCAGGCAATTTACCGCGCGATCGACGAGTACGAGGTTGGTACGGACCCGTCTAAGACTTTGATCCAAAGTATGAGCAAATACTTCGACGCAGCGGCTCCGTCTAATTGTGGAAATTTAAGAGATGCTTTTTTGAAAGTTCCCGTTGAAACGTTTAGTAATTTATACCCGATACCTGATAGATAGCATCTTATTGGTTCTAGCGTGTTGTCACTATGATTCATATTTTAAAAGGTTTTATATGCTTCTTATTGAATAAGTTTCTTAAATTACCACTTCGCAAGCGGGTCACAAAGGGATATTTTTCTTTAACTATAAGGGGTTTTGTTTATAGTTCATTACTATTGTTAGTTTTAGTTATTATAGGTCTCAGGTGTTAGACATTAAGTATTTAAGAAAAAAAACCTTCCTTTATAAAAGAAAATCATTTATTTTTATCTCTGTTGAAAGTGCAGTTTGAAAACAAAGTACATTGGAGAGGTGCCTTGCCACTTAGTAGTTCATGGAATGCGTGTAGCTATGGCCGCTATGAGATTAAATAATGGTAAGATTAAATTGGAATTAAACTAAAAACAAAAGTGAGATCAAGAATGCCCTATTCAATATTCTGCCGTGTTTAGAAACACTTTATGTATGCACACAAAAGCTGTTTGTATGTTTGTATCTTGTGATTAACATTTAAAACTTACCAAATATTAATATAATCACAAACGCATTGGTCACTGACTCTTAATAACTAAAGCTTTCAGAGGTTGTAAATTGTAAAACTTTTGTGATGATATGATCTTTAACATATGATTGTAATTTGTTATTGTTCTTATTATTTTTAATTGGATGCAACATAGTATCATGATTTCATTATGATATCTTCTTCATCTGCATATATGTAGGTATATTAATTTTGAACTAGATTGTAACAACCATAATTTTATTAACACTAAATTACAATTTAACTTTTATCTTTATAAAAATCAGGTTAGCTTTAGAAAGATTCATGTACAGTTTCAACTTATATACATGCTGATAGATAGGTAATTATTATCTTAGTAGTAAACATTGAATACCATAAGAAAGTGTAGTATAGCTTCATAAATGAGTTATTTGTAGAAGAGAACATACCTCTTGTTCTGTTGAGATTTTGTATTATTTTTACAAATGTTTTATGTTTTGTTGATTATGTACTTATTGAATAGATAGGATTTCAAAAATATACAAATATTTTTATATTGTTTTAGCGGTTTGGGAAATTCATTCCCTAAGTAAAGTTAAACGAATATTACTATATAATACTAACAGATAGTAGTAACTATCATTAAAAATAAAAGCGTCCATTATAAATCTCTGTAGGTATAAGGGTTACTAGATTTAGTATAGAAAGATGAGAGTTCGAATAATGACACCAAATTTTTATACCATAAAAATAAGTTGGTGTCATTATTCAAAAGCCATACTTATCTGTAGTCGAAGATTATAAGTTTACGCCAGAATCTCAAGCCGCGATAGTTTTCGGTAGGTTGTTCTTCTTAAGAGATGATCGAGACAGCTAAATACAGTTTCGTTGTAAAAGAACATATTTTACGTGACATAGGATCGTCGCTAATATCGAAAAATATTTTGGTTTATGAAATAAAATAATAGTTGAACATGTTATATCATTATTGGCGGGTCTATGTTATTTAATTAAGTTAAATATGTTTGTATTTAAATATAATATGTAAGGTATACAAAAATATGTATAAAACAAGTATTAAATCTGCCTCATGTAAATTATAAAGATACTAATTTGTATTTTTTTTGTATAAAAATCATGAACGTGAAGTTATTCGCTCATTATTCTAAACTTGTCATTTTAATATGGTAATCAAAGTAATGATTTTATTTGCATCCCAAGCAGTAAAAACAATAATTATTGGTTGGTACCACGCGACGGCAAGCACTTGTTTATCACCTAAGATTACCAATGCTCACCATCGGATTATGCGAGAGGAGCGGTCCTTCCAAGCGCTGAGTGCTAAAGAGACGCCAAAAAAAAACCAAATCCAAATAATAATTTTTAACGAAAAATAAATTTTGATGAACAACCTGTTATTCATTGTTCTAAAATTCCATTTTTTTACATGTTATATTTGTTATTTTTCTATGCAAATCAAACTAAAGATAATATCTACGTCCTAGGCAGCAATAACAAGAATTACTGGTTGGTAACGCAAGTATTTAATTTAATTTATTTAAGTATTTAAAAAAAAAAATCATTTAATTTTAAACTTTAATTTTAAACTGTTTATAGTATTTTTTTTCTGTGCGCAAATCCCCTCGGATACTACCCACCGGTGGTTATGTAACCTAACCTAATAATAACCTGTAATTTAACCGACTAAAATCCGCACTCCGTCACAGGGACCAGTAGCCGGGGAACCACGTGACCCCCTCGTTTGTGAGAACCGCAGTGTTCCCGTTCTACAAACTACATCTCTCCCGGTTTCACTCCGCCGTCTCCTTCGCCAGCATAACTTGCTTACAGGAGACGGCTTAGTTCCACGCGCTCTCCCTACGTTCCATGGCTGTAATTATTGTACTAAGCAAATAATTATCACTCCGATGGCCGCCACGAGGTCACGCCTCTGCTCAACCCACACCGGGCATTCTGCCAACGTGTGTTCACAGTCCAGCCATCGCAGTGGTGACACCCAGGCGCGGGCTCCTTACGGATCAGACATAGGTGTTTCCCGAAGCATCGTTTCCCAGTGATCACCTTTTTTTTTTTTTTACGTGTGGAAATCCCCTCGGACCGTCACCCCGCCGGGGCGGTGTGTCGGACTCGAACCGACTAAAACCACACGGTGTGCCCTCTTTGCGCTTCCAGTTTAGGAGGGGTCCAGGTAGTTATCGCCTTCTGGACCCCTCCCAGCGCCGGCCCGCTCCTGATGCGGGCTCCGTCTCAGTGGACCCTCTCTTTGGCGACGTCCGGCACACGTGGACGCCGCCCCCTCGCGGCTGGCCAACTAATGTCCCAGTGATCACCTGCGTCAGCCGGTTTGAGAGGGTCCCGTGATGCCTCTCGAGCCAATCCTCCATAACGGGTCTTACCACCGCAACAACGGCGTGCCGGCGCTTGGTTGCTCAAGTCGTACCTTCCACTCCTCCACAAGGGTCTGGCGGAGTTGGGATTTCTGATCCTCGAATTTTCGAGTGTCGGGACTCCGACCCACTGATACAGAGCCGCAAGGGCTCTCGCCTACAGATCCCATAGTGGAATTCTGGCCAGGAGACTCGCTACCTCAAAGGATAATTGTGCGGTACCTCCTTATGACCCTACTTGTGCATTGTGCCGCTTGCTGCGGTCGTAGTAGTAGAGCGACGTTGCTGACCTTCAGGGCCATGAACCGCACAACCCCCGAGTAGAGTCTCCTGCAGTAGTCATCGGGTCCCCTCATGTTGGGCAGCAACTGCGTCCATACCCGCGCTGCTCCAACCAACTCGGGGACAAGAGTTCGGAAATGATATCTGAAGTCCCACCGGCCATCTAGTATGAGCCCCAGATACTTTATCAAAGGCTCGATGCCGATGCGAGTGCCTCCTACTATGAGGCTGGATCCCTCAGGTGGCTTCCTCCAAGGCCCATGAAAGAACAATGCCTCGGATTTGTGCAGAGCCACCTCGAAACCCATTCGTCGGATTCGCTCAACGACTTGGGCAACCCCGACCGTGGCCCTGAGGGTTGCTTCACTGTGCGTCTCGCCGCACACCGTCACAAGCGTGTCATCCGCATAACACGTGACGGCGATACCATCTAAGAAGGCACCGCGAAGCACCCAGTCGTGACCGATGTTTCACAGGAGCGGCCCTAACACCGAACCCTGCGGAACACCGCACGACATTTCACGTCGATCGAGACCGAATTAGACCCGACTATGCGGCGGCGGTAGAGATTTGGTGATATACGAGCGCCTCCCTGATGCAAATCCAAGGCAAGGTGTTGAACATGCCAGAGCCATTACGCGCATGATCGCATCCACGGTGGAGTACCCCTGACGGCAACCATACTGGTTGTCCGCCAGATCCGGCCCCACCCTGAAGAGGTGCTTGACGAGGCGCCTTACAATCACCCTTTCAAAGAGCTTGAACACCTCGTCAAGCAACACAATAGGCCGGTAGGCGGATGGTAAGTCCTTACGGATGAGGATCAGTTTACCCGTCTTCCACAATTTCGGAAACTGGCCCTGCTCGAAGCATGCGCTGAAGAGCTTTTTCAGTCGGGTCTTGAGAGCAGTGTCATCTAGGGCCGGGACCCACGCTTAGCCTGGAATGTCATCGGGTCCCGGCGCGGTAGTTTTGGCTTTAAGCCATCGCACCGCCAGCCCTAGTTCTGCTCAAGTGACCTCAGGCATATCGTAATCATCGTTAGGCGTCTGTGGCTGTGCCATCTGTGGTGGACTGTGCTCCAGTACTCGCGATGGGAACTGGGAACCGACGACCCCCTCAAGCAGCTCTGGCTGGAGACACTGGGTCAGCGGCGGGTCCCATGGGCTCATCTTGCCTCTAACCATACGGTAGGGGCGTCCCCACGGATCCCGCTCCAGTGTCTCCAGTAACTCACGGCGGGCCTCACTTTTGGCCAGCTACGTTTGTAGTCTTATCCGTCTTTCAAAGAAAAGAGAGAGTTACAATATTTTTAAAGAAAATTTAATCTTTACCATCTTCCTAACCACAGAACCCAAACACAGATTGCTACCAATCGAACCCGAGTTGGGTTCGATTTTGGAAAAAGTTGACCATCGTATATGAATATTTGTAAAAGCTTTCAATACTGCTGTCGTCTGGCCTTCAGCGAATTTCTTGTGTGATTTGAGTCCCTGTAAAACCAATCGTAATTGTAAAGTCCCTCAAAGTGTCTGCTCAGTTTACGTAGATCACGTAAAGTGGTGCAAAGTGAGCAATAAGGAAAAAAAAGCTTTTAATTTATTTAGTACAACTACTCACTATCCATCTGTTCTCTGTAATCACAGGACCGACATACGATTTCGCGACTCCGCCCTCTTTCTTTTTAATTTTTTTACAGGCAAAGAAGACAGTTCCTGAGCTGTGGTAACCAGACTACTGATAATGATACTGTAATAGATGGTACTCATTTAATGTTACTTCTTATACTTTATCTTGCAATGGTTAAAGAATTTGTTAGAAAGAGC